GAAGTTGACTGAACGGGAGATCAATGCTGTTCAGCCCGACACGCCCCAGTATCTTCGATGGTCAGAGATTGCAATCAAGTTTGACCGCTCGGATCATCCTGACCGAGTGGTCCACCCGGGGCGGTACCCCCTGGTACTAGACCCAGTGGTCCGTAATGTCAAGCTTCGCAGAACCCTCATTGATGGTGGCAGTGCACTCAATATCCTCTTCGCTAAGACCCTGGATGATATGCAGATTCCTCGCTCTGAGCTAAAACCAAGCAATGCGCCTTTTCACGGAGTAATTCCAGGATTATCCGCAACTCCACTCGGCCAGATCACCCTCCCAGTCACTTTTGGCACTCGGGAAAATTTCCGCACAGAGAACATCAGCTTTGAAGTCGCCGATTTCGAGACAGCATACCATGCCATACTCGGACGCCCGGCGTTAGCCAAGTTCATGGCCGTCCCGCACTACACTTACATGATGATGAAGATGCCTGGTCCCCGTGGAGTCCTATCCCTACGGAGCGACATCAAGCAAGCCGTCACATGCGACAAGGAGAGTTGCGACATGGCCCAAACCCGCGAGATGGCGTCTGCCCGAGAGGAAATCCGACTGGCTGCAACCACGGTGAGCGAAGGAGAAGTGCCCGCTGCCAAGATTTCAAAAAGTGGAGAAACCGAAGCCGAGACTAAAAAGATTCCCTTAGATCCTTCTGATCCTACCAAAACTGCTGTAATAGGCGCCGAGTTAGATTGTAAATAGGAAAGCGCGCTCATCACCTTTCTTCAAAATAATAAAGATATCTTTGCGTGGAAACCTTCGGATATGCCCGGTATTCCCAGAGAGGTGATTGAGCACTCCTTACATGTCAAAGAAGACGCCAAGCCTATTAAACAACGACTCCGCCGATTTGCACAAGACAGGAAGGACGCGATCAAGGAGGAGTTAACCAAGCTGTTAGCAGCAGGCTTCATCAAAGAAGTCCTTCATCCCGACTGGCTGGCAAACCCGGTTCTAGTTCGGAAGAAAACAGGGCAATGGCGCATGTGTGTTGATTATACCGACCTCAACAAGTCTTGTCCCAAAGATCCTTTTGGGTTGCCTCGCATTGACCAGGTAGTTGACTCAACCGCCGGCTGTGAGCTTCTCAGTTTTTTGGACTGCTACTCGGGGTATCATCAGATCCGACTGAAGGAATCCGACTGCCTGAAGACTTCATTCATCACGCCTTTTGGAGCATACTGCTACGTCACCATGCCGTTTGGATTAAAAAATGCAGGAGCAACCTATCAACGTATGATTCAGAGATGCTTCTCAACACAAATTGGCCGCAACGTCGAAGCCTATGTAGATGATGTAGTCGTCAAGACCAAACAAAAGGATGATTTGATCTCGGATCTAGAAGAAACCTTTGCGAGCATCCGTGCTTTCAGGATGAAATTGAACCCTGAAAAGTGCACCTTCGGAGTACCGTCAGGGAAGCTGCTTGGTTTTATGGTGTCTCATAGGGGCATCCAAGCCAACCCGGAGAAAGTTACTGCTATCCTCAACATGAAACCGCCAAGCACCCAGAAAGATGTTCAGAAGCTGACGGGATGCATGGCGGCGCTCAGCCGATTCGTTTCAAGACTTGGCGAGCGAGGGATGCCCTTCTTCAAGCTACTGAAGAAAACAGATAATTTCCAATGGGGACCCGAAGCACAGAAGGCCTTCGAAGATTTCAAACAACTCCTCACCAAGCCACCGGTCTTAGCTTCACCACACCCGCAGGAGCCGTTGTTGCTGTATGTATCAGCCACCTCCCAGGTCGTGAGCACAGTCTTGGTTGTCGAGCGTGAGGAAGAAGGCCATGTCCAGAAAGTTCAGCGACCAATCTACTTCGTCAGCGAGGTCCTGGCCGACTCCAAAACGAGGTACCCTCAGGTTCAGAAGCTGTTATATGGTATTTTAATTACTACCAGGAAGCTGTCTCATTACTTTCAAGGTCACCCGGTAACGGTGGTCACATCGTTTCCACTCGGCGATGTACTGCACAACCGCGAAGCAAATGGACGGATTGCTAAGTGGGCTTTGGAGTTGATGTCTTTGGACATATCATTCAAGCCCCGCACTTCAATCAAGTCTCAAGCGTTGGCTGATTTTGTCGCCGAGTGGACCGAGCGCCAAGAGGATACCCCCGTGGAGAAAATAGAGCACTGGACCATGCATTTTGACGGGTCAAAAAGACTTTCGGGCACTGGAGCTGGAGTGGTTTTAATTTCCCCGACTGGAGAAAGACTAAGTTATGTGCTTTGGATACATTTTTCGGCGTCTCACAACGTCGCCGAGTATGAGGCGCTCCTTCATGGACTACGGATTGCAATTTCCCTAGGGATAAAGCGTTTAATAGTTCGAGGCGATTCACAGCTGGTTGTTAACCAAGTTATGAAAGAGTGGTCCTGCCTTGACGACAACATGATGGCATATCGACAAGAAGTACGCAAATTGGAAGACAAATTTGATGGACTCGAGCTCAGTCACGTTCTTCGACACAACAATGAAGCCGCCGACAGACTTGCCAATTTTGGATCCAAGCGTGAGCCGGCGCCCTCAGATGTTTTCGTCGAACACCTTTATACACCGACCGTGCCTCATAAAGATACTACTCAAGATGCGGACACTCATGACGTAGCTATGGTTGAAGCCGACTGGCGAGAGCCCCTCATACGGTTTTTAACTTCTCAAGAGCTCCCTCAAGATAAAGATGAAGCCGAGCGGATTTCAAGGCGGAGCAAACTTTATGTTATGCACGAATCTGAGTTATACAAGAAAAGCCCTTCAGGAATTCTGCAACGCTGCGTATCTTTAGAGGAAGGGAGACAATTGCTGAAAGATATACATTCTGGGATATGCGGAAACCATGCTGCTGCGCGCACCATTGTCGGCAAAGCTTACCGGCAGGGTTTTTTCTGGCCTACTGCAGTGTCCGACGCCGACAAAATTGTGCGCACATGTGAAGGTTGCCAATTTTTCGCCAGACAAATTCACTTACCAGCTCAAGAGTTGCAGACTATCCCGCTGTCTTGGCCGTTTGCGGTTTGGGGGCTCGACATGGTTGGCCCGTTTAAAAAGGCAGTCGGCGGTTACACGCACCTCTTCGTGGCCATTGACAAATTTTCCAAGTGGATCGAAGCTAAGCCTGTTGTCACGATTACAGCAGATAATGCTCGCGATTTCTTCATCAACATTGTGCACAGATTCGGAGTGCCCAATCGGATCATCACCGATAATGGCACACAATTCACCGGCGGAGTTTTCAAAGACTTTTGTGAGGATTTTGGAATTAAGATTTGCTACGCTTCAGTGGCACACCCCATGAGCAATGGACAGGTGGAGCGAGCCAATGGCATGATACTTCAAGGGATTAAAGCGCGCGTTTTTGACCGGCTAAAACCCTATGCCGGTAAATGGGTGCAACAGCTGCCGTCAGTACTTTGGTCTTTGCGAACTACATCCAGTCGGGCCACAGGCCAGTCACCTTTTTTCCTTGTCTATGGGGCAGAAGCAATGTTGCCGAGTGAAGTCGAATTTGAGTCTTTGCGCTTCCGTAACTTCCGAGAAGAACGCTACGAAGAAGACCGAGTGGACGACTTGCACCGACTGGAAGAGGTCCGCGAAGCAGCTTTGATTCAGTCCGCTCGGTACTTACAAGGGTTGCGACGTTATCATAATCGCAATGTTCGATCTCGTGCCTTTCTAGTCGGCGACCTGGTTTTACGGAAAATTCAAACCACACGAGATCGGCACAAGTTATCTCCTCTATGGGAAGGGCCATTTATTATCTCTGAAGTCACCCGGCCAGGTTCATATCGACTCAAGCGCGAAGACGGCACTCTCGTCGACAACTCTTGGAACATTGAACATCTTCGTCGTTTCTACGCTTAACTTTACCATTGTATTTCCCTATTTTGACTGTCAAACATCAAGTTTTCTCCTTGAAGTTGTCAGTCGGGGGCTATCATCATAATAATGGAGTGTGATTTTTTATCAATTCAGTTTGCTTGGTTTATCATTGCCTTGTTTGGTTTTTCTACTTAGTTTGCGAGGACTGAAAGTTTTTAATAGCTTCTTTGGGTTTTAGGCTCAACAAAGCTTAGCAAAAACTTTTAAGAAATCAAAAACTTCGCAAGAATCATCAAGCACAGCATAAATACACCAGTATTGTACAAATTGAGCCTCCATGTATTACATTCAAACTCAGTCAGAATCAGTCCTTTCATCATCAGAGTCTTCATTACTCGGTTGGAGGTCGTTGTTGCGAAATTGTTCTACAACATCACTCGCAATTTTGTCAGCCGCATTTTGCGCACTGCTGATAAGATCAAGGGCAGCTTCTTCACTTGTCCCGTCTGCAAACCCATCAATGGTGTCGACTTCAATTCTCGGGTACAAGGATTTTGTCATCGCCAAGGCCATGCCAGCTCCCATACTTCCAGCTTTCTTGATATTCTTGAAATATACTTCCGGAGCAACACTCAGCTTGTCAAATATTTCGGTTGCGTCGAGTGCACTCGGACCACCATTATTGAGGAACATGGCTTGGATAATTGGTGCAGCGGCATTGGCGACGTTATCCCTTGCTCCTTCAAGCCTCTTGATCTTACCAACCAAGACGTCGAATTGGGCTTGCGATTTTATTTTGCGATCTACAAAACACATTTATGATGAGGATTTATTGCATTATAAAGAGAGAAGCTCAGATTGTCAGCTGGCGTTACCTTCGACTTCCTTCAAGGCTGAGTCCCTTTGCGCAACCAGTTCTGTCTTGTCTCTCTCCAGGGCTTCAATTTGCTTCGCCATCTGTTCCATCCTGGCGGCTTGCGCTGTTTGAAATTCAGATGGTTGAGGATACAGTTATGCCAGTTTAAACCAATGAAACGGATCTAGGGATTACCTTTTGATGAACCACTCAGCTCATAGTTTGAATCCTGGAGCTGAGCGATTCGGTCCCTTAACTCCTTCTCCGTCTTTTTGGCGCACTCCTTGGCCTCATGCAGCTGGTCCCTAACTGCTTCTAGAGTTCCCAAATGAGGAACCAGCTTTTCCAAAGTTGTAGTCTTGGCCTCATTGCGAAGATGGATTCTCTGCATGATGGATCATGGTTCAGTTCTGCTAAAAAGAAAACAAAGTTACCGAAGGCCGTCACTCGGAAGACTTACATTTACAATACGAGTGGCTTCTCCGAGCGCTTTCTTCAGCTGGCACACTTCTTCATCTTCTTTTTGACGGTTTATGACTATGCCGGCGGCTTGTGAGTTCTCATCCCACCATTTGATCAAGATAGGAGGACGAGAGTCGTCGGTCGCCTTTATGCGAGGGATTTCTTCTCCGTCATCACCTGATGGTCCTGATGTGTTTCCAAGACATTAGACGGATACACTGAGGTTATTTAAATCGCCATTGTTTGAGAAGACAACTAACCTGAAGATGTACCTAGCTGAGCGTGAGGTGATCTTTGTTCTTTACCTGACGACCCAGCTATCGAGTCGTTACCAGCTTCTGGTCCTTGCGAAGTCGTCGTCTGCGCTTCTACTTCGGGGATCTCTTGATCAGGGCCTGCGTCCGACTGGTTTCCAGTCGGGGGCTCTTGAGTTGTTGCCGTTTCAGTTGTTGCCGACTGGTTTCCAGTCGGCGGCAGGTCACTCGGATTGGCTCTATCGCCCGAAGCATGGGCGCCAGTCGGCTGACTTTCAGCGGTCGGCTGGTTTTCAGCAGTCGGCTCGGGGTCCTTGGATATATTCTGCTCTGTCATGGCAGGATCGGGGTCTTTTCCAGATGGATCTATATCAGATGGTTTCCTGCAAAGTGTTCTTTCAGTATTCAGCATCATTTTCATGGGCAAAACATGCCGAAGCGGAATCATATCGAGAGATCTAATACCTGGAAGATGTTCTGATCTTTGGCATTGCACGGCCAGCCAGTTTTTTCCTGGGCATGGTACGCTTTGGGGGTTTATTAGGCGAGCCCTTATCCCCAGAATTATCATCGTCGCCTTCATCATCATCAAGTACCAGCTTTCTCTTGCGAGGACCTGTTTGACCAGCTAATTTGGAGGTCTGAGGTTGCGGATCTGGTCTGATCGTTGGCCCTCCACCTCCCTGAGCGGTGTGTTGGCGAGGAGACCGGCGCTGAGAGACTGGTGGATCTGACTTCATCAATGCATATTCCTGCACAAGATGCTTCCATAGTTAGTCAACTCAGCATGAAGATAAAATTATGTTCTGATCACGGTTTGAGGGTTTCCGATGCATACCTGTGGAGGCGGATTGAATGCATTATATGGCACAACTGGCAGTTGGTGAGAGTAGCTGACTACAATTGCATTTGAGAAGATTTTATACATCCTCTCCTTCATGATTTTGAAATCCAGGGAGTCTGGTTCTTCACGGTTGGGATCATGTTTGCCGTCGAACTCGAATGCTGTGCGGGATCTTTCCTTGATTGGCGCCAGTCGGCATTTGATGAAGTGCCGAGTGATTTGCTCTCCCTGTAAGCCTTGTTCTTTAAGATTTAACATACGATCCAACAACTCCAAGGCTTGTACTGCTTCATCTCCGATTGGAAGAGAGTTCCAAGTATCTTGGCACACTGGAGGAAGACAAGAGTACCCGGGAAGAGCAGGCTCGGGATTCTGAACATAGAACCAGTTTGCATGCCATCCTTTGTTCGAAGTCTTGAAGGGCATCGAGAAATATTTTTGGCTCAGAGTTCCCCTTAGTTGGAATCCTGCCCCCCCGACTACACACGGTTTGTTCTTGTTTGGTTGGGGTTTGAGGAAGAAGATCCGGCGGAATAGGGCGAAGTGAGGTTTGATCCCCAAAAAGGCTTCACAAACATGGACGAAGTTGGCGATATGCACTATGGAATTCGGGTTTAGGTGATGCAAGCTGATTCCATAGAAATTCAAGATCCCGCGGAAAAATTTTGAGGTCGGAAGAGCAAAGCCACCGTAGAAGAAATGCGAGAAGACTACGATCTCATGTGTATCAGGGGTCGGGAAAACCTCACCGCACGCTGGCCGCCACCCGATGATCTCCTTGGCTGGGAGAACGCCGTGCGCCACCATCTCCTTCAGGTTCTCCTCCGTCACGTCGGACGGCACCCATTGGCTTTCGAAGCTTTCTCTCTCTTCCGCCATCGATTTTTCTCAAATGTGCTGATTTGATTCGAGGGATGGCTTGGGAGAGGTGAGGAATTGAGGCGGTGGATCACGGGAAGGATTTTGATGCACTTTTCGGAGGTGGATTTGGCCGGAGTTGTGAACCCTAGTTCGCCGGCGCAGCTTCGCACTGTAGCAGGGAGTGGGGAAAATGGCGAGAGTTCCGGCGGGGAAGACGAAGCGTCGCTTGGATATAGGATTTTTCAGTTAAGGGTATCGGAGGTGCTAATGGGCTTAGGCCTGAACAGTACTTCAGCCCAATACTTTTAACAGCGTGGCCCATTGTGTTCCTTAGGGACTTAGGCATATTTTGCTTTGGCAATATTATGCGCACAACAGTGTTGCCCAATGCTGATCAAACCCTTTTTATGCGGTCATATAATTCTTTGGAATTATTGCAATGCAAATTAAAAAGGTGCCCGACAGAAAGGCGTTATGCTGTTTTTGCAAGCTTTTTTAGGCTACAAAAGCTGTTTGGGTTAACTAGGAATGACTTGTTTTTATTATAATCATTTCCTTGGCGTGTTATATGCCTGTTTTCATGGTAAATAGTCATGGCCTAGGCTATTCGACTTATTTATTACCATAATCTTTATAATACTTGATGGGTAATCTTTAGAATTTTTATTCGGATGCCTGTCAAGTGTGTTCATTCGTGAACCTTTTAGAGTGTAAACCACTCGGATTTCTTTTATTGTGGCTAAAAAGCAGTCGGTTAGCATGCCTATTTTGGCGCCGCATATGCTTTTGTCATATAATGCACAATTGTGTTGTTATTTTGTCTTTCAACTATATGTTTAGTTTGTTAACTAATCACATAGTTGGGGGCTACACCTAATTAGGTGCATCTATTCGATGCACCATATTCTTCTTCTTTTCGCCCTTTACAGTCCACTCGGCAGGTTTTGGCTTGAAGAGTTTGAAGTACTCGGATTATCATCTTTGAGAAGGCTACGATGGTCGACTGCAAAGGACTCGGGGGCTACTGTGGAGATTATGGGTATCCCATATCTACACGGCGATGGTATTCGAACTGGGTACAGGATACCTAACGTAGATAGAATATCTTATTTGTATCTTGGGTTTGTTTCTTAACTTGTGTATCATGGAAACACCCTGAAACTTAGTCGGTTACGACTGTATCTTACCTATATTTTCATATTCCGTAAGGGATATAGGTTATCTTTTGTAACTCGGACTCCTTCCCATATATAAGGGGGGTCTGGGCGCCTATAGGGGCATATGTTGGTTTTTCCCGAATCACACAATCAATAATACACTCGGCGGATTCATCCCCGGACAGGAGTAGGGTATTACTTCTTTTATAAGAAGGCCTGAACCTGTATAAATCCTTTGTCTCCAAACCCATACACTTTCCTAGCTTGATAGCCACCCCCTTTTATTATTGCCGAAATCTAGTTTCGACACCGATAGGCTTCGTCACGACGGGTTTTGTCCATGGAAGGTAATCTTGCCTATCCCCAGTCCCCCTCGCTACATGCCAGCGCAATTCTGAGTAATAAACCTTAACTGCAATCTGTTTTACATATTACAGTAGTGGGCGAGATGCTGTTGCAATTGCCTTCTGCGAAGCAAAGCTTCTCGCGGTGTTGAGGCGGCAGCAATGGACACATGAAAATCTGAAGCGCAAAGACATCTGTGTCCTTGTTAGGAATGCAAGATCAGCGGCATACCGACGAGCACTGGCAACAATTGTCCTGGAGCAGCAAGAGGATGACCTTAAGTTTCTCTAGTCTGTAAACCTTAAGTTGCTTAGTTATCAATGTTGAATCCTTTTTCAGAATCCTTTATAACTATCTGATTCATTTTTGAGGAGTGACGAGCAACAAATATGCATTTGCTCGAGTGGTAAAATTCCAACTTCCCAGTAAAATGTGAATCTTTTTCCCCTTTCATAAATCAGTTGCCACATGCAGTCTGGGCCCACATGTCAATAGCACAATCAAATGGCAAAAGCAAAGATATACAAAGAGGGTGTATCTGTCTGTCTGTCTGTCTGTTCTGTTGTATCCTTTCTTCACGGCAAACGCATGATTTTTACAGAAGGGTGTTGGTCACCTTTGCTCCCTATTTTGCCGGGAAAACGTCTGGGGAACAACTTGACCTCTCATTTCCCGCCAAATAAGGTCAGCCCTCTCCTTTCCCTCCCTATTCAAATACATCTCCTCACTTGCTTCCTCCCTTGCAGATTTTCAGACACCACCCTACCCCAATCATGTCTCCAAGGATCCCGACGAGGGCGAACCTCGCCCTCGCCGCCCTCCTCATCCTCCTCACCATCGCCGCCACCACCCTCGCATCGGCGAAGTGCATCGCGAAGAACAAACCCGAAGGCGAGGAGGGGGAACCCAGTGGTGCGGGCGCGGCTGCGGCCCACGCTTCACCGGAGAAGAAACCCGGCTCCAACGGCGGGTTAACCACCATGTCCGTCGGTGAGAGCGTACCGGAGATCAAGAAGGACTCCTCCGATGATGGCGCCGCCGTGAATGAGAGCAAGAAACCTAAATCCAGTGGCGGCTTGACTACCCTCTCCGTCGATGATAGTCAAGCAGAACCCGCGGACAGTATAGCAGAACCCGTGGAAGATGGCACCGACGACGGCGAGGATGAGTCGGAGAAAAAGAAGAAGAAGAAGAAGAAGAAATCCAAAAGCAAGAGCTCCGATGATGATGATGATGATGCCGAGAAGAAATCCAAGAAGAAATCGAAGAACTCGGACGACGATGAAGATGACAAGAAGAAATCCAAGAAGAAACCCAAGAACCCGGACGACGATGAAGATGACAAGAAGAAATCGAAAAAGAAGAGCTCCGATGAAGACAACGACGGTGCCAAGAAGAAGAAGAAGAAGAAATCCAAGGGCAAGAGCTCCGATGAGGAAGATGATGAAAAGCCCAAGAAGAAATCCAAAAGCAAGAGCAAATCCTCCTCCTCCGACGAAGAAGATGAGAAGAAATCAAAATCCGAGGGCCAAGCCGCGGCCAAACCAAAGGAAGAAGACGAGGAAGGCGGCTCGGCATCGGCATCGGCATCGACATCGGCGCCGAAGAATGAGCACCACTCGGGCACCATGTCGCTCCCGGACCCGGACATGATCGCGCAGCCGGTGATGCAGGCGCTGAACCCAGTGGTGAAGGCGCTGTGCGGCAAGACGGACCACGCCGACCTGTGCGAGTCCTCCATCGGGCAGCTGCCGCAGCAGCCGCCGGCGCAGCTGGACGACATCGGCGTCCTCAGGCTCTCCATGAACGCGCTGCGCGCCAAGGTGCAGGAGGCGATCAGCGTGGCGACGAACAGGATGGGGGCGGCCTCCGGGGACGAGGTGTCCAAGGACGCCATGGGCGACTGCCTCCAGATGTACGACGACATGAAATCCAACCTGGACTCGGCGGACGCGGCGCTCAAGAAGGGGGACAAGGACACGGCGCACACCATGCTCGACTCCGCGCGCACCGACGTCGACACCTGCGAGGACGGCTTCAGCGAGCGGGAGGGGCTCAAGCCGATCATGGGCGACCTCGACAAGATCCTCGCCGAGCTCTCCAGCAACACCATCGCCATTGCCTCCGCCATAATTGAGTGACTCATCTCATTTTCTCTCTGTCTTTCTCCCTCTGACCGTCTTGAACAAACAACTGAAGTGTATGTAGTATGTACCGAGTGTTTCAAAAGCTGAAACTGCATTATGTATCTGTACCATTATGATTGATTATTATGACTTGTGAAATTGTGAATTGTGATTATGACATCCATCCCCTTTTTTAATCTTGGGATTCTTGGTTAATCAGATTAGTTAACTTGTCAATGGGGAGGAATTTCCTATAGGCGCCAACATTAATCAGCAAACAAAGTTTCACACACACACACAAATTTTGTTCAGAATTTGTTTCTTTCAACAGGGGAAAAAAACCCAGAATTTGCAGGGAAACTTTCGTTTGATTAATAATAAGAATGGAGAAGCTTTTTATCAGCATATTAAATTTCACATAATAAAAAAGTCGTTTGATAAGTAAGAGTGGGGAAGCTTTATCAGCACAGGAAATTTCGCAAAAAAAGAAGATTCAGAATTTTGCTGGCAAAGCTTTTATTTGATTAGTAGCAATGAGAGTGGAAAAAAAAGAAAAAAAAATAGGGGCATTCCGAGAATTGAACTCGGGACCTCTCGCACCCTAAGCGAGAATCATACCACTAGACCAAATGCCCTTGATGATGAATTATTAAATAAATTATACCAATTCAAATGTGTCCAATATATTTTGGTGTAATCAGCATTTGGAGATAGTCTCCTGTTTCTGCTTGTAATTGATTCTTCATTTCATAATCAGAAGAGGAGAGTGTGTTCTTGTTCTAAATCCCCCAATCTGGATTTTCAAATAAGCTGCAGCATCTCAGACAATCAAAGAGGTAATTAAGTGGCTAAATGCTAATGCCATCAATCATGGAAGAGTACTCAACTAACCCAAGTTACTGACAACATGACCTCATCTCACTGCTAACACGAACCTGGTACTGAACATTTCGTTCAAATTCTGAATTTGGTGCGAGAATTGTGACCATAAGCAATCAAGCGATGCTACTACCGCCGATGCGCAGGCGGCAGCGCTGCATCGTCTTACTGAACTTGATGGTGTCCAAAGCCGACTTGACGGCGAGATTCCGAGCGACCATCTTGCTCCTATTCCAGTGTCGTCCCTTCATCTTTGAGCTTGGCTCAGAGTTTGCGAGGGAAGACTCACCAGACACCCCAGAGCGAGGCTCTTGGTGCGTGCAGCCACGACATCTCGGTAGCCATGAGGAAGAAGATGAGCAAGTTCAATTCCCTGGTGATTTCATGAATCGCGACGACTATAGATGGGCTGGCTAGCTCTTATGCAGTGGCAAAGAGTAGAATACTGATACTACACTAGTGATGTTGTTTGTTGGCATGTCACTAGCTTGTTTGACTTGTGTCCCATTGTGCATGTGGGAAAAGATGTGCGCTCTGTTGTCTGAATTACAAAAATATTTGGACTGAAATCCGTTCTGTCATTTGTTAATCACTGTATGCTTTTATCTTTCAGAAATTATATATTGTTGGAACACCCGTAGTGCTCCTATAAGAGAGTACACAAATCCCAAATGCATTTATTTATTTACAGCTCACGTAGTCCTATTTTAAATGAAAGTAGAAACTCTAATGCCAATGGACCTAACAGATTTAGTACGAATCTTTGTCTTGGCTTTTCATAGTATATCATACTCACCTATTGCCACGATTAGCTAGGGCATGACAATGTGATCAAATTACTTCAACATTCCACGATGTGAAACCTGATCGACTATCACTTTGATATTTTTTTAAAAAAAAAGATGAAAAAGAAAGACATACACAAATAAACTAAAAGTGGTTCAGTCGATATGATCTTTGGTATACTCAGTGGTTCAATACGTTCTGCTAAGAGCCGTTGTTGACACGTGGACCGAAAATGCATTTTCAGGTTGCAACGAGTTTGTATGAACCTACGGGGTTGCACATTTAATTGGTTGGAACAAGATAATTAAATGGAGATCCAATAATGGTTCAATTCGAAAGAGGATCCAAGTTGGACTTCTAGGAGCACACGAAGCAAGCGACATCACACGTGGGAAACCCTAGCCACCATTCCTGATCACAAGCCAAACCCTAACCCTAGCCACGCACAGGTGCTAGCACGACCACGCACGCCGTTCCTTTCCTGGATACCGGTGGAGGCGTTGCTGCGTTGCGGCACGGATCGGCTTGGGAACATGAGGAGGAGATGCTCGTGCGAGGAGGAGACAATCAGGTTGCTGCAGTCAACTACTTCCGCTACACCGACATGTTCTACATTGAACCAATCTGTTCCGACTCTTCTTCCACTAGTCGTCACGTCGAGTGGTTACGATCCATGATCTCTTTCTTCGCATGGTTCCTGGTTTACGCGGTAGAAACTTTTGTTTTATGCCATTGTAGCCTACTCGTAACTCAATAGCTCGCATGACTCGGTAAACATGGTTATGGTTGCACGCGGAAATAAACGCGTTGTCTCATATTCAACATACTCCCGCTACATATGGCTACCATATGGGTAATATAAAAAACAAAGTGTACAAGCGATTGCTGAAAAGAAAAGAAGGTGCACTTGAGAATGTATACTATCTAACAAACAAGTAGTTTTACCTGCCTCATCAAAAGTTAATGCACCATGATACATGAACATATGTACTCATTATGATATAGTAAGTTGATAACTATCTAAATTTCCATTTTAGTTATACTAATATGAGAGGCAATGAGTGGAAATATCACAAAACGTGCACTCTCGATTTTTTTTCTTATAAACATACATAGCATCTATATATCTTTTTTTTTTTATAAACTATATAACATCTATCCTAATCCTGAACAAATATACATATATATATACTAAGCTAGGTTTCTGTTGCATAGTTGCAGGTTTTTGTTGCATATTGTTCAATGTTCATCTCGGTCGATGTACGGTATGCTACCATTTTTGTTGGTAATTTTTATGACGGAAATTAGTCATGCCTCTGCATTCCAATTTGTTGTCGTGTCATGTGTAATCGTGTGCTCATAACTTGCTCTCTTTAAAAATCTTTTCAGTCTTCAAAAGAAGAAAAAGTGCTCTCTTTTCCGTGCATACGTGCTTGGCACTAGCTAACCCATCCATCTTTAGTTAATTTAAGACCTTGCATAGATTGACCCTACGACTGATCGGTCATCAAAACCTACCACCACCATTAACCTTTGCATTAACTAAGTAATTCTAAGAACACGTACAATAGCAGACTATAATTAAGCCAGCTATAAACATATTTTAAAGAGGTAAAGGAAGAGAGAAAAGAGCAACGGGTTACAGATCTGTAGACAGCTGCAACACAGACTTTAAGACGTAATGTGTGTATAACATGTGGGACCAGATATTAATAGTATAGTAAGCAACTATTGTATGAATTGGCTATTACATTGACTATAGATGATTTGGAGCTAGTAGTGGGCTATACTATTAAACTTGCTCTAATTAGGTTGCTGCTACCAAGACCTTCCCTCTCGTCTTCCTTCCATAGATCTCCACTCGGTATCCATGCGCGTTGTATCTCCTTCTTCGGTTCTTCCTCCGCGTCATCGTCGTCGTCGTCTTCTTCTTCCTCACAACTTATATAAGCTCGATATGGACACCAGCTGATCAAAACCACGATTAATCAACTGATCAACAATCAACAAGCTCGTCGTACACATATACCTGAATTTCGTTCCAAAATGGCTCGACCCACCCACCCCATGGCGATGCGGCTGCTGAAGAACATCGGCCGGCGAGCTCCAGCATCCATGGCTTGTGTAAGCTCGGCCTTCTCCCCCGGTGGCTGCGGCGTGCAGGTCTTGCCGGCGACGACGGCGGCGGGCGTGGCGTTCTCCGAGACCAATAAGGGTTACTCTGAACTGAAGCAGATGTACCAAGCTTTTTGTTTCAATCATCCTGGGCTCTATGACAGGTATGTAATTACAATGAATAGTTGGGGCTCAGAATGTTTACAAAATCTTGGATTTTTAGCTAATGTTATGAATTGTATGCAGTGATACTGGTTGTGATGAATATGTGAAGAGAATGCGAGCAATCGTCGAGTTAGTTTGTCGTCTTGAAAAAGAAGGCCAGGTATGTAGAGACATACTAAGTATATATTACTATTATTTCAGTATAGTACACTGTATGCTAGTTATGAACAATTGGGCCTCTTGGACGAGATGAAAACAAAGATCAAGGAAATATTTTAGTGCCTGCATTTTGGCCGCTAATTTTTGTCTCACCCTAGTCCCCCAATAGTTTAGGACTGGCCCTAGTGCCGGTTGCGCTGCATTAGGATGGTCCTCATAACAATAAGAAAATTGCAATATTGGGATTGCAAATATTGGGGTTTCACTGTTTTGAATGTGTCTATGAAATGTGGGTCCAATGTTATTATAGCAAAGATTAATGTTTGCAGCGTCATTATTGCAAATCTCCCTCATACAATACATTGGTTTGACATGTCCTTTGGTAATCATTTTTAAAACAATTATTGTCTTAGTAGCATAGTACAAACAAATAATTCTTAGTAATGACTTTTATCTATAAAATGCTCTGTGTAACAATATATCCATGGAAAACTATCTAAGGGTTTATTTACAACATGATCATTTCCAAATAAATAAATATTTCTGAGACATTAATGATAATTCCATGTTGCCTGGTCAGGACTGGACATCTTGCACCATTGAATGGGACAGCGAGAGGGACTTGCCGATTGTCCCGCAATGGACACCGTCATCCCGAACCCGAACCATGACAGTCGGTGATCGCCATGCCCTGCTCGCCGCCGCCATTGTCGTCGCCGGCGCCGCCACCCTCGTCGCCGGCGCCGCTGTTGTTTCCCGTCAAAAATGAACAATTTTCACCTACGTACTTCTGTGAGTAAAAATGACATGGATGATGTATTCATTGATCAGTGTGTATTTAACTCTGTACTTGTATTTGTATCACCAAAGAATTAATTATTAGCGGTTCTTTTATCTGTTTGTTAAGGGTGAATTTGTTGCACCTGTTGCCTACATGATTAACATGAATTTGTTACTGATGTAGCGTTTCATGGTACCTGTATAGTTTTCAGCATTGCTTTGCTTTGCTGCATTAGTCATTCAGGGGAAGAAGAATAACTGAACATATTAGATGGACTTAAGAGTTATTGTTCATGAACCCAAAACAGTTCAGATGATAGTCCTGACACTATATAGAACTGAACTGAATAACTGAAGAGCACAAGAAATGAATGCAAAACTCGATTCTTATTTCAGAGTCCATGAGGGAGTTGCAGATTTGCTCATTTGAATAAACATGTATACTACTAGATTGCAGGGTTGACAGAGTCATCAGTATTTTCCCCTCCTGATGGTGTCAACTGGCTTGGTAAATTCATTAATTAGGACTAAATGCGGAAATGGGCCATAGGCTGTCAGGACTCAGGAATGAGGAGAGACAGAGAGTGAGACCTGCAGGCTTACAGAGTTTCAGACCGCCACGTTCATCACATGTTAGGACCAGCAGGAGCAACCCTGAAGAGGTACAGTATGCGGGAGATGACGGCAACACGGTGGATGGGGAACAGGACGGAGGCGGTCGTCAAGATGGCGTCTTCGTCAAGGAAAAGCGTAATCGTCGAGTGAACATGAAGTATAAGGGGTCCGAGTGGGCCGTCTAAGCTTTGTGGGTTATCGGCCCAAATTCATGTAACGAGAGAGAGAGAGAGAGAGAGAGAGAGAGAGAGAGAGAAGTAACTAAGAACTATATGTAAGCTGGCAACAGCTAGAAGGAAGGTTGGCTTGGAACTCGGCAAGGTGGCGATGGCGGCGGCGGCTCCGCTCGGTTGAGCGTGAGATAATCTATCAATCTAGTTCGAGTTCCACATTTCTGTGTTCTTGTTGCGAGAGGCTGTTCTGTTGATAAGGGTTCTAACAAAATCTGGTATTAGAGCTTTGCGACCTTAATCTCTTGATTCGACCGTAGAATCACCGATCGGGGATTGAGACTCACCTCCTGGGGTGGTGTCTCGCGAAAAGGCAACTTGCCTCGATTGGGTTGGTCGAGTTTGGAGCGGTCGCGGGATCTGGACGCCAGAAAACCACGCTGAGAAATTTGGGGAAGGTCAACCATGGTGCACGAAACAAAGTTGGATCTCTTGTTGAAGAAGATGGAGGAGAACGAGCGGAAGAGAGCGGAAGCAGAGGAGCGGACTCGTGCAGATCTAGCGGAGCTCAAGAAGGTGGTTGAGGCGAGGTTGCCGCTAGTGGAGAAGCGTGTGGAGGAAGTCGCTTCGGTGGTCGGATCCTTGAGTACGAAGGTCGAAAACATGGAGGGTACTCTGCTGAAACAGGGAAGAATGGAGAAGAAACCAGCTGATGTGAAGGAAGAGCAATTCACGCCCCAATCGTCGTTCCAGATTCAAGGTATGCGAGATCCCACTTTGAATTCTGCGAATAATTTCAATTTTGAGCCAATTGCTTCACCGGGGTCGGGTAGTGCAAGGACAAATTTGGGAAGCAGCTTGTCACCGATGACGTGCCCGCAGTTCAATGGAGATAACCCCCAGATGTGGAGAGCTAATTGTGAAGTTTATTTTGATGTTTATGGAATTCCGCCTAGCAATTGGGTTAAGATTGCAACTCTGAATTTTGTGGGAAACGCTGCCTTCTGGTTACAATCAGTGAGGAATCAGCTGATAGGGGTGACGTGGTATGACTTATGTGAAAGGGTGTGTGCCAGATTTACTCGAGATCGACAACAAGCATTGATTAGGCAATGGTTGAGGGTTCAGCAGACTACTTCTGTTGCAGAGTATGTTGAGAAGTTTGATAGCATCATGCATCAACTGAATGCTTATGAAAATTCTGCTCCCATTGAATATTTTGTTACAAAATTCATTGATGGCTTAAAGGAAGAGGTTCGATCAGTTATCTTGGTTCAGAGGCCCCAAGACCTTGATACTGCTTGTTCCTTAGCTATGCTGCAAGAAGAGGCTCTGGAAGGACTGAAGGCTGGAAGTTACAAGAAGTCAGAACAGATGGGAAATTATATCAAGTCAGTACCGAGGTCTGCATCACAGACAACTTTGTTCTCTCCTTCTCCACAGAAGGTCAACTCATCAGCGGCCCTAGAGGCCACTAGAGCTAAGGAAGACAAGGTTGCATCACTTAAGGCATATAGAAAGTCTAAGGGTCTTTGTTTTATATGTGGGGAACGGTGGGGGAGAGATCATAAGTGTGCTAATGCAGTACAACTACATGTAGTACAAGAGCTTATGGAAGCTATGAACATTGATAATGAAGCAAGTCCTGAAGTGGAAACACCTGTTGAGGAAGAAGTGAGTCTGCTTGCTATTTCTCAACAAGCCCTGAATGGTACTGAATCAAGCAAGTCCATACGACTAAGGGGATGGATTCAGGGTACATAATTGCTAATGCTGGTGGATTCCGGAAGTACTCATTCCTTCATAGATGAGCAAATTGGCAGAAAACTATCTAGAGTGGAGATACTGAAACAACCTTTGAAGGTACAAATAGCTGATGGAGGACAGATAGTGTGCAATCCAGTAATTCCTGGTTGCACATGGTGGATGCAGGGGCATAGTTTCAGAAATGATTTCACACTTATAACCTTGGGCAATTATGATATAATATTGGGTATGGATTGTCTTGTGCAGCACAGCCCAATGCAAATAGATTGGAGTTAGAAGTGGCTAGAGTTTCAGTACAATAGTCAACTCATTAGATTGCTGGGTATATCTTCTCAACCTAAGCAATGTTTTGAGATAACTGGGGAGCAATTAATGGGTATGGCAAAGTTGGGTTCCATCATGTATATGATTCAATTGACTGAAGGCAGACCAGAGGAACATCAGAATGTACCTGCTCCAGTGCAAAAGATTTTACAAGAATTTGCAGGTGTTTTTGCTGAACCTAGGGGCCTGCCCCCTACCAGATATTGTGATCATAGAATTCCTTTAATAGAGGGAGCCCAACCAGTTAACCTGAGGCCTTATAGATACAATCCGGAGCTCAAGGATGAGATTGAAAGACAAGTTGCTGAAATGTTGTCATCAGGGGTCATTCAACCTAGCCAGAGTACTTGGTCTTCACCTGCCTTGTTGGTAAGGAAGAAATATGGGACTTGGAGACTCTGTGTTGATTACAGACACTTGAATGCTTTAACTATCAAGAGCAAGTACCCAGTTCCAATAATAAAGGAACTGTTGGATGAATTGTCTGGAGCCAAGTGGTTTTCAAAATTAGACCTCAGGGCAGGTTACCACCAAATCAGAATGGTACCAGGGGAGGAGCACAAAACTGCCTTTCAGACACATTCTAGTCACTATGAGTACAGAGTTATGTCCTTTGGACTAACTGGGGCTCCAGCTACATTTCAGGGAGTAATGAACAAAACTCTGGCTTCAGTTTTAAGGAAATGTGCTTTGGTGTTTTTTGATGATATATTGGTGTATAGCCCAGATCTACAGTCACATTTGACCCACTTGAAACAGGTCTTGCAACTTCTCAGACAAGATCATTGGCAGGTCAAAATGAGCAAGTGTTCTTTTGCCCAACCTCAAGTGTCTTACTTGGGCCATATCATTGGAGCACAGGGGGTCTCCACTGAACCAAAGAAAATTCAGGATGTACTTACATGGCCGACTCCTATATCAGTTAAGAAATTGAGGGGATTTTTGGGATTGGCTGGCTACTATAGAAAGTTTGTAAAAAACTTTGGTATCATCAGCAAACCTTTAACACAGTTGTTAAGGAAGGGAGTGTCTTTTAGGTGGGGATCTGAAGCTGAAGCTGCCTTCCAACAACTTAAGCAAGCTTTAACCTCTGCTCCTGTACTTGGGTTACCAGATTTTTCCAAACAGTTCACTGTGGAGACAAACGCCAGTGATGCTGGTATTGGAGCAGTGTTGTCACAGGAAGGACACCCAATAGCATATCTCAGCAAGGCCCTGGGGCCAAGGTCCAAGGGACTGTCGACATATGAGAAGGAGTGCATGGCTATTTTGTTAGCAGTCGACCATTGGAGGTCTTACTTGCAGCACCAAGAGTTTCTGATTCTAACTGACTATCATAGCCTGGTCCATTTAGATGATCAAAGATTGCACACTCCCTGGCAGCAGAGGGCTTTTACTAAGCTACTGGGCTTACAGTATAAAATCGGTTACAGGAAGGGTAGCAGCAATGCTGTGGCTGATGCTCTATCTCGTAGGGAAGTTGGGGAAGGGGGACAGTTATCAGCCATCTCAGTAAGTACCCCTACTTGGTTACAGGAAGTAACAAAAGGATATGAGCAGGACCCTCACACAAGCCAGTTGCTAGCTGAATTAGCCATCAATTCTATTGCCAAGGAACACTATACATTGTCGCATGGGCTCATTCGTTACAAAGGAAGGATTTGGATAGGCAACAATACAGACCTACAGAACAAGTTAATTGCTGAACTTCATCACAATCCCATTGGGGGGCACTCGGGTTTTCCTGTCACATATAGAAGAATTAAAAGATTGTTTGCTTGGCCTGGAATGAAAAAGCAAGTTAAATGTCAGCTTCAACATTGCCAGGTTTGCATTCAAGCCAAACCAGAAAGAGTCAAATATCCAGGGTTACTTCAACCCTTGCCGGTACCAGAAGGAGCATGGCAGACGATTACCATGGATTTCCTTGAGGGTCTTCCAAAGTCTGAAAGGTACAATTGCATTTTGGTAGTGGTGGATAAATTTTCAAAATATGCACATTTTGTTCCCCTGACACACCCATTCACTGCTGAGACAGTAGCCACTGCTTTCATGAAAAATATCTATAAGTTGCATGGTATGCCTAGAGTGATTGTATCTGATAGGGACAAAATTTTTACTAGCCAATTCTGGGAGTATTTGTTCACTAAGTCTGGTACTGAGTTACACATGAGTTCAGCCTACCACCCCCAATCTGATGGGCAGACTGAACGAGTTAATCAGTGTGTGGAGCTGTTCTTGAGATGTTTTGTTCATGCCACTCCTACTAAGTGGGCAGCATGGTTGCATTTGGCAGAATTTTGGTACAACAATGCTTATCACTCAGCTGTGAAACAAACCCCCTTTGAAGTCATTTATGGCCATCAACCAGCTCATTTTGGTATTACCATGGAAGATTGTGCAGTACCTGATTTACAGGAATGGCTGAGGGACAGAAAATTTATGCATCAGCTTATACAGCAGCATCTGCATCGTGCTCAGCAACAGATGAAGGCTTATGCTGATAAAAATAGAAGCTTCCGGGAGTTTCAGCCGGGTGACTGGGTTTACTTGAAGATTCAGCCTTATGTTCAAACATCAGTGGCTAGAAGAGCCAACCATAAGCTATCTTTCAAGTATTTTGGTCCTTTTGAGATTCAGCATAAAGTGGGTCAAGTGGCATACAAGCTGGTTCTTCCCAATACCTGTTTAATCCATCCTGTGGTCCATGTATCTCAACTTAAGGCTGCCAAGGGTTTCCAACCTGCTCTACAGCATAGCTTGCCATCTTCTTTGGGGTCCTTGGAAATTCCTGTGCAGTTCTTGGATCAGCGAGTGGCTAAAAAAGGTAACGCTGTTGTAACTCAATTGCTCACACACTGGTCAGGTACTGCAGCTGCTGATGCGACTTGGGAGGACCAAGAAGATCTGAAGGCTCGCTAGCTCATTTTCCATTCGCACCGGCTTGGGGGCAAGCCGGCTCTCAAGGAAGGGAGGATGTTAGGACCAGCAGGAGCAACCCTGAAGAGGTACAGTACGCGGGAGATGACGGCAACACGGTGGATGGGGAACAGGACGGAGGCGGTCGTCAAGATGGCGTCTTCGTCAAGGAAAAGCGTAATCGTCGAGTGAACATGAAGTATAAGGGGTCCGAGTGGGCCGTCTAAGCTTTGTGGGTTATCGGCCCAAATTCATGTAACGAGAGAGAGAGAGAGAGAGAGAGAGAGAGAGAGAGAGAGAGAGAAGTAACTAAGAACTATATGTAAGCTGGCAACAGCTAGAAGGAAGGTTGGCTTGGAACTCGGCAAGGTGGCGATGGCGGCGGCGGCTCCGCTCGGTTGAGCGTGAGATAATCTATCAATCTAGTTCGAGTTCCACATTTCTGTGTTCTTGTTGCGAGAGGCTGTTCTGTTGATAAGGGTTCTAACATCACAGGAACTGATGACAAGAATAGCAGCCAGCAACACAACAATAGGGAACAACAAACTGAAGCAACACATAAAGTTCACAGCCTAAGCACACATCAGACAGTGATTGTTGTAACCTGTCACTCACATACTCCCTCCATTTCTAAAAGAAGGTAGTTAAAGCTATCAAAGATAGATTAAAAGACTACTGTATCCTATTAATGAGGAGAAAAAACGAGGAAGAGGGAGTATTACTGGTTAATTTGCTGGTTAAAATAAGAATAAAAATATAAAGTAGTATTAAAGAGATCTAGTGAACCTCACTGTAAAAATAGTCTTTGTGGGATACATTTATAGGTTAAAACTTAAAACTATAGTCTTTTAGATACGGAGGGATATGCGCATCTTTCATACTTGTTTTAGCATGGGATGTCTTTATTGATTAGTGGGTCTGTAACTGTACTTATATTTTGTCAATTCATTAGCTAGATCGGCCAAACCGACATAAAAATAGAACTGTACCTTGATCTAGCCGTTACGGTTTGATCTTGTAGCAAAATTGTATCAAGTTGTTTAGGACTTCGGGCATATCTGGGCTCTGAGACTCGAATGTCTCGTTGCACATCTTGTCTGGGGTGCCCTGTCTCTTGTCATGTCTGGCACTGAATTTCCTTTACCTACTTGTCTATCTCAATTCGCAACATAACTCTCAACTCTGGTGGTCTGGTCAAGCTTAAATAGTTCTGAATCAGATGTTTCCAACAGAGCAATAAGACTGGATGAGTCTCCAGAAGTGTTTCCATAACTATTCCATCATTGAAAATGAAATTAATCTGATAAAAGTGTGGAAATATCCCAACGATCTACTATGTGGATGGAGAGCATCATTTCAACCAACATCTATACAAGATGTTCCCCTCCTTTTTCCGGGCTTGGGACCGGCTATGTCATTTACTAAACCTAGGATGACATAGGCGGAGTTACCTACACACCTACAATAAAAAAAAATTTAAAAAAGAAACACACACCTAATAAAACACGGCAATGTATTTTACAAGAGCTAAAGAAAATATAACCATTTTTTTGGCATTTTCCCATTTTTTGATATTTTTGTTTTTTTAAATTTTTCATTTTTTTAATTTTTTTAATATTTTAAAGACCAGTAACTAGGTAAAGACAAAAATATAGATTACAGGTGACTGCAGCCCAAATCCTTCAAGATTAACCTACAATACAAATAAGCGCACACAATTAATCATGGATGTATATACATAAGCAATTTGGTAATTAAATAACTTAATTAAGGAAAAGAAAATACAAGTGACATCCGTTTTACAACAATCATATTTTCTGCAATTGAACTTACCAAACATCAGACGTGCATTACAAAAAGTATAAGGAAAATACACATATGGACTATACATAGGCATGTCGCTTGGCAATATCCACTGCTTATTTTAACAGATGTAATACGAACAAAAATATCAATCAATTTGAACCAATACAAAGACATTAGGTGGCTTTTGTTTTTCACCAAACAAACCTTAATTAGGAGCCCTACGCTAGGAACAGATGTTGGGCACAACACTTCCATATTCAATATCCTGCTCATAGGCTACAAGGAATCTGAAACATTGGGCCTGACATATTTTTTTGTCAAATCTAAAAAACTACTCTATAGGCCTAATGTCTTGCGAAAATTCATGTGTATTTGTGTTTTTTTATAAGATAGTGAATGCTAAATGCGCACATTGATATGACATAGAACACACTTGTAGAATTGAAGGCTAAATGCATGTGAGCTGGTCTTCATCATATATAGCACATTTTTAGATAATGGATTAAATAAAAACCGACCTCTACATCCTGAAGGATGTACACAGTCAATCATAGCTAGCACATTCAAGAGCTGAATTAAGGATTACTTCGAAGTCCATTATGTTTAGTCGTGAACTTATGCAGCCTGTGTACCAAATGCTAAACCATTTATGTTGTCCCCAAGTCCTTGGATGGATATATGCATATGTGATATAACTACTGGCATATATATAGTGAATATATCAATGCCATCATAGCATTGTTTGGTGACAATATAACCCATACAATTTTCTTTTGGAGTAGCAGTAATCTCTATCTCTGTGTGCAGAGCTAGGAACACTACTGCATACGATCATGTTGTAGTACATATAGGACAATACATTCATCTGGAATACACCGTACGTGCAGGATGCATGTTAATAAGATCATGAGAAGATAAAAGATTTGGCCATCTAATTAATTTGTTGATGTGTATACACCATTTTATGAAAACATTAACCACGGTGAAATGGTTACATGCAACACTAATGAAAAAAAGAACTAAATCATATAGATCATCAAACAATCAGTCAATGCACACAACATGAACATCTAAGGAGACTATCAAAAGCTAAGAATAGCTGCATACAACTGAAGAGCTGAGGAGCAGCATGAATGTACAACCCTATGATTAGTTTATTCCAGTGAAAAAACCCAACCAATCAGTGTACATACCTTGTGCCATCTAATTAATTGGCTCTTAAAACCACTCGTTGACCTCCAACTTATGCTCATCTCCATGGAGCTGGCGATGTTGCTCCTCAAGCCCTGGGACCCACAGTGAAGAGATCTTCTGCATATTCTTTGACAGCCATAGCTGCTCCAAACCACCCAACATCTCAACATGCCTCAAATTCGGGCAATGATTTACAAGTAGCTCTCTCACTTGGGGAAGGTTGGAGATTATCTCCAGGCCTTGACAACTTTGAACAAAAAGTATACCAGAGAGGAATGGGAGGTGTTCCACCATCTTCAAGCATCTTGCTCTTCTTATATCGAGCTCCTTCAAGTTGGTGGCCTGCTGTCCAAGCTGTGGTGGGAGAGCCCTCAGCTTGGGGCACTCCACAAGTTGCAACTGCTTCAAACAAGGCAGCAGCCACGACGACCTTGGAGTTGGAGACGGGGCTTCCTCCCCCTTTTGCTTCGAAGCAGCAGTTCCATCCTTTCCCCCTTCCTGGGCTGCTGCAGCTGCTTTCTCCTCCTGCAACTCTTCTTCTTTGACAAAGGACCACTCCTCCCAGTTGGGCATATCCTTGATAGCCAACAATTCAAGCCTAGGGAAAGCAACTGTCTCTGTGGATATGAGATTACCCTCCCAGCAGCCAACAAATTCGGGTCCAATCTTGGTGATTGCACTTGCTCCATCAATTCTAAGGTATTTCAAGTTGGTAGCTGTCCGATTGTGTGGTGGAAGATGCACACAAGATTTGCAATCTTTGAGTTTCAAATATGTCAGTGAAGATAAAAGGGATGTACTAAGCCAGGTGGGGAACCTTCGCCCAAAGAATAATACAATCATAAGATCTTCTAAATTGCGTGGAGGACTTAGCTGCTCAAAGATCATCTCGACATTGCTAATGCCTTCCTCTGAGTATGCTTCATCAGTCGGTTCAGTGCAGCATAGATGTAGACTTTTAAGATGCTTTTTGTAAGTTAGCAACAATGCATCTGTACTGCTCCTAGGAGTTGCTCTTTCCAATTTGTTCAAGTCAAGCCGGCGTAACTGTGAAAGATGAGCTAACTCCTGCAAGTTCCATCCGTCTTGCATTTTAGTATTGTCACTTCCACCTCCAACAGGAAATCCTTCTAAATCATTGAGGAATTCAAGTCTTCCTATCCCTCTTGGAACCTGATTTATTGGTGAATCATCAAGACCAAGCCGCCTTAAATTGCATAACCGAGTGATCATGCTGGGCAAACTGTACAAAGATTCACACCGCTGTAAGTGTAACATCTGGAGGTTTTTTAGAGCACCAATAGATTTTGGAAGACAGGATATGTTGGTTCCACTAAGATCAAGTAAACGTAGATGAATTAAATATCCAACACAATCTGGTATTTCTTCCACAAGTAAGTCAGTCAAGTCCAAAACACGAAGATACGTGAATCTCATGAAAAATGTTTTCTCAATTCCCAGTGGATTTGGTTGGGTTCTAAAAGTTCTCAACTTAATCTCCTCCTTACCCATGCTAGGTATGACTACCATATCTTTCTCGGTGATAGCTAAAATGCGGCGCAATTTACACATGTTATTATCCACCAATGATGTTGGATCTCCAATATAACATTCTTCTCTTGATAGATGGCAAGCAAGTTGCCTTAAGAGATCATGCATTTTGCATTTGCTCTGATCAAAAGATGTGTCAACCGGTTGGAGGAGATTCCTACTTATTAGCTCATAGTAGTATTCTTCTGCTGTATCTTCTAGTAGTTGATCTTTGTGCACTTCTACAAAGCCTTCGGCAACCCACAACCTGATAAGGTAATAACGGTGAATGGTCCAGTCTTCAGGATATACAATACAATAAAGAAAACATTGCTTTAAATGCTGTGGTAAATCATCGTAGCTTAGATATAGAGCACCTCTTATTTCCTTAGGAAGTTTATCCATGGACCAAACGTAATTAGCTAAAATCTTTTTCCATTCGTTCTCTGTTTTATCTTTGCTTGCCAAAACTCTAGCAATAACCTTGATTGCAAGAGGTAGCCCACCACATTTCTGAACAATCTCAATCACTATGTCTCGCAGATTTTGCACTTCTTTCTCGTCCTCAATGTTAATGCTCTTCCAGAGTAGCTCCCAACCAACAGCCGGTGACATTTGGTCGATATGATGTGGTTCCTCAACCCCAATTTCTCTAGCGACAGTATCTTGCCTAGTAGTTATCAAAACTATTCCCGAGGTTGCAGCATACAGTGGAGTTCGTAGTAGATTGGTCCACACATCAGACTGCCATACATCATCCAACACAAGAAAATAACTCTTATCTTTAATAGCCGATTCAAGCTTGCTTTGTAGCTCGCCAACTGATTCTTCTTGTTTGCATTGAGCGTCGATGGTTCTAAGTAGTTGTCCCAAAACAGAGGCTGGGGAGTAGTCCTGAGAAACACAGATCCATGCATGTTTGTCGAAGCTTTGTTTTAATTTCTCATCATTGAATACTTTCTGAGCAAGTGTTGTCTTTCCGATTCCCCCTGTTCCAATAATAGCAAGCTTGTAAGTCTTCTTTTCCTTGTGTGTAAGAACCTGGCTCACCAATTTTCTAGAAGCATGTAATATCTCTTTCCCCACAAGGTTGGATTCAGCAATTTGAGAACTTTTTCTCAATTCTGATGTTGAATCTTTATGAGATGACTGTGTATTCTCAAGTGTTACAAATATTTTATCCTTTGCTATTTCTTCTAGGTTTCTGTTCAGGCTTCTAATTTTATTACCAATCTCATGGTGAACCCGAATGTTGGAAAAGCAAGAGAGAAGTGAAAGCCCATTACATGCAATTGTTTTTCTCGGTGAACAAGAATGGCCATTTAATAGCTTGCTTCCTTCAAAGCTAACCAAATCGATAATGTCATCAGCATCATACATAGCATCTTTTAGACGAGAAATCCAATTGTGTATTGATGAGTCTTCCATGCCCCTTCGCTCCACATCACTTATAAAGCATCGTATTTGTTCCATTTTTTCCTGCAGTTCTCTAAGATCTTCTTTTACACCTAAAATTAGTATTGCCTCCTCGGTAATGATCTCTTGCAACTTCTTAGCACATGATCCAATCAAAGAATCCAGTATGGTTGCCATAGAGAAACTCGTCGAGGGTGATGCTCCAATATATCCAAGTTTTTTTTTTGGCGTAAGCAATATATCCAATTAAATCATGCAAGAGTAATACCGTCTGAAAATGGACAAAAGTTGAAGTGGTTTCAGAGTATCTTTGTAGCTAGCAAGTTATTTTGCAATCTGTTTTGAGCAAGTATATACTGATTACTGAAGCTGAAGAACTGAAATCATTAAGGGGTTTACCTTTCGGTGGCTTCTTTGTATCAACAGGCAAACGAGAAAGAAGTAACCGGCTCAAATTGCGGTGTTAATTTTGCTCAAGTTGACAAAGCTAACTTGCTTGGTATGAAAGCCGAGCTGAGGCTGAAGTGAATCGGATCGACAGGAACGGCAGTGGAGCAGGCGGGTGTCTTCTGGAATGCAAGATGATGACCGAGCGAGCCAACGTTTCGATTGGCTAGCTCCTAACGTGACAAGCAGAAAATTGTTCAAACCCTATGTTGTGAGAGAAAACTCAGCTGAGCCTGAGAGCAAGGCCTTTGATGCGTGCAGCCGAGGCATCGCCGGTCACAAGGAAGACAACGAGCAAGTTCCCATTATGAGATTATGTCTCGTGGACTAGATGGGCTGGCTCTCTTATGCAGTGTTCAAATAGTACAATGGCTCTTTTATCCGTCTCACCATTTATGTCCCACTGTGCATGAGGAGTTTGTTTTCCAGTGTGCAAATTGCACGGAACAAGACAAGCCATCTTAGATAAAGATGTTTGAACAAGTTTGCAAATTGTGCAAATGGCAGTCTGATGTATGAACAAGATGTTTCAGCTGCATATATAAATTTCTCCATCGTGCTACTAAAAAGATTCCCATGTCAGGAAAGATATTTGGACTGAAATTCATTCAGAGTACTCCACCCTAGTAAATAGAGAAAGAAAGACCTAATACCGAAGGTATCGAGAAATACCAAATTTTACATTAGAAAATATGGTACTTCTTCCGTTTCATATTATAAGACTTTCTAGTATTGCCCATATTCATATATATATATATATTAATGAATCAATATATATATATGTGTGTGTCTAGAATGTGAGCAATGTTAGAACGTTTTATAATATGAAACGGAGGGAGTACCTCCTAGTATCTCTTAAGGATTGGGGTGCAGCTCATCTTCAAAATCTTAATTCTGCCCTAGTAAGTAGAGAAAAAAAGGCCAAGAATATTTCAACTCATGTAAGTAAGAAAGAAAGACGAGATATAGTATTATTTCTGAATCTAATCCATTCAAATGGCCGTATGTGAGCCAAGAGGAAAGTAACATGGCTAGCAGTATGTTGGCTTCTTGTCTTGATGTCAGAATCGATGAACCATCGACTAAAGAAAACGATAAGAACATTTGACTTGCTGACTTATATATGTTAGGAAACATACAAGAAAGGATTTATGGGTGGCTAGGATCATCACCCCTAGTGCTGTCGACTTATCAGGTTCAGCTTCACCATGGTTGATGCTGATCAGTTGCTCACCATTCACTGTAAAAATGATCAATGCTCACCATTGGACCATTTTCTGTCCTTTTGTCCAGGACTATTCTCCTCTGAACCGAGTGGTTCTGCGTTTCGCAACTGTTCCATCTCTTCCGAGTGAAATAATATTACCATTCTCAACTTGTGCACTAATGCACAAATTGCACACAACATATTGCTGCACTTGAATTGCAGGCCGAATTGCAGCAGCAGCCCTGCTTCCTCGTCAAGAGATGTTGAGAACTGCAGTTAAACGTATTAACAGATTGAACATGAATATTTGCCTAACACGAATTTGGTCCTGAGTTGAATTTGATTCCAACTGTAGCATTGATCGAACATTCTCCCAAACAGATACAGGTTTGATGGATGCTATGAATTAAACAGTGAACACAATAAACAGCAGTGCAGCATCTCTTTCAATTCATGGTGTTGATGATATGATTATCTGAACTAGTGAACTCTGCAGACCAACGAACAAACAAGAACTCAACTTCTATCGACCAAACTCTCTTCCTACCAGTTTGGAGATTGAGATTCCTCTGCAAATTTCGCTGCGCCCCGCTGGATAAACAAGAACTGAACAGCCTCCCTGATCTGAACGAGGATAGGAGCCCAAGAACCAACGGGACACGAACCGCCTCTGGATACGGGCGCCGAGATTTGGGGTTTCCGGAGGGAGCTCCGGCGAGCGGCTGCCGGTTAGTTCTCAAGCAGGAGAGACACGCGTCGTTCTTGCGTTCTTGCCCTCAAGTGGGCCCCACGAGTCAGGGAGACATTATATGTTTACATTGCCGTTGATGCGACGACGGCAAGCGAGTGAGCGCTCCGACGAGGTAAATCGCCGCCGAGTCCCACGTCGCCGGCGCCGGAGAACCTCGAGCACAACCGAGGTAGAGGACCCCTCGTTTTCCTCCCCCTTTCTCTTCTCATCGCTGGATGCGCTATAGCTGTGCTTTGCTTTGTGCTGCGTTTGATCAGTCACGATAAGAATAATTTGTCCGTTGTAGATGAACACAGAATGATTCAGATGAAAATTCAAACTGAATAGCTCAATTGTGTACATGAATGAACACAAACCTCGATTCTAATTTCAGAGTCCATGAGAAGGTTGCAGATTTGGGGGAGTGAGCTCTACAGCATCAGTAGTGAGCATCTTTGAACATAATGATCAAATGCCATCAAATGAAATGTCAAAACCGAATATCTCAAACCCTATCGTTGCTAGTAGAACACATTACACTATGCAAAATAAGGAAATCAGCTTACACGGAACATCTATTATATAATTAAAGGAATAGAAAAAGGAGCTTCCACGTTCGCTCTCATGGCTTAGAAATTCTCACATTAATCGGAGAAAAAGAAAAAGCATAGTCCATATAGAAATACAATTTAGAAATAGCTGAAATTCGGAATTAAAAAATAAGGAATATTAGAAGAGGAGACTAGAGTCCTTATAGAAATACAATTAGGAAATAACTGAAATTCGGAATTTAAAAATAAGGAATATTAGAAGAAGAGACTAGAGTCCATATAGAAATACAATTAGAAAATAACTGAAATTCGGAATTAAAAATAAGGAATATTAGAAGTAGAGTATAGAGTCCATATAGAAATACAATTAGGAAATAACTGAAATTCGGAATTAAAAACAAGAAATATTAGAAGTAGAGTATAGAGTCCATATAGAAATACAATTAGGAAATAATATAAATTTGAAATTAAAAATAAGGAATATTAGAAGTAGAGGATAGAGTCCATATAGAAATACAATTAAGAAAAAAAATAGAAATTCGGAATTTAAAAAAGAAATACTAGAAGTAGAGTATAGAGTCCATATAGGAATTTAAAACTAACTAAAATTTGGAATAAACATAATAAAATTAAAAGTAGAGTCTAGAGTCTGTATAAAAAATACAATTTACAAATAACTAAAATTCGAAATTAAGAAAAATATGGGAAGAAGAGTTTAAGGTCAACATAAGAATACAATTTATTAGTAACTGAAATTCGAAATTAAAAATTGAAGAATATTGAAAGATGAGTTTAGAGTCCACATAGAAATACAATTAGAAATAATAAAAATTCAGAAATAAAAATAAATAATATTGAAAAAATAATATTGAAAAAAAAAGCATAGTCTATATAGAAATACAATTTACAAAAAGTTCGGAATTTAAAAAAGAAATATTAAAAGACGAGTCTAGAGTCCATATAGAAATATATATAATTTACAAATAACTAAAATTTGATATTAATAACTAACATGTATATAAAATATAATATGAAAATTCAGAAATAAAAATAAATAATATTGGAAGAAGAGCATAGAGTCTATATAGAAATACAATTTACAGAAAATTCGGAATTAAAAAAAGGAAATATTAAAAGACGAGTCTAGAGTCCATATAGGAATATATATAATTTACAAATAACTAAAAATTGATATTAAAAATAATTAATAACTAACATGTATATAAAATATAATATGAATATTACACATATTGCAAAATTTAAAATTATGTTGTCATTTTAATATATTTGAATAATATAATGAGAAAACATATATGCTATTATATGATAGAAAATATAATGATGCTAGCCGCGCAATCTGCGCGGGCCACCATGCTAGTTAGGAAGATGCAAGTATCCAAGAAGACACTGGTTTGCATCCCCGTCCAGAAAATACGAAGGCAATAAAACCATGGTTAATTTAACAATGTAATGGGATAACAAGGTGAAAAGCTAGTGCACTGTCATAATAACATTTTCCTGAACCAATCCTAAAGACATACAAGCTGTTATTTTCAGTGTTCAAAAGGAAAAAGGATGAATTCAATGAAATAAACAAAAGGTGGATTTACTTCTCTTCCTCAAGTTATACATGGGTTCCATCCCACATAAGCAGCAGCTGGTGGAGAAAGAGCCTTGGACACAATCATTGCCGATGCAAATTTCAGTCAAAGATGTGTTGTATCCATCTATTAACACAGGTATTGATTGTCAATACGAGGTATCATCACTGAGATTTCCTCAAGTACTGAAACATTGTCAGTACAAAGGAATGACTAGGAAGGTTATCCACCATTTCCTCTCCTCTCGATCACAATTCACAAAGCACAATCAGTTTCTATCATGATGGGAGGATAAATATATTTTTGCCTCAGTGATCTTCATTGATTTCCTTGTCCTGCAGGCTTGTCATTAAGGACTGACAGGAGAATGATTGGTGCTTGGGTTTAACCCAATTGCTTCTGGTGAAAGAAGGGGTTGAAATGAGCTCAAACTAAACTGGTTTCCAACTCAGGTTCGTCCAACAGAGAAACAGAGTTTATGTGCCTCTGAAAGTGTTTTCATAATTATTCCATCACAAAAAAAATGCAGTAGCCTGACAAAGGTGCAGTTTCAAGAAAACTTTCAAAGACCTGGTAGCAGTAGACTATTCCGTCATTGAAAATAAGACTGGATGAGTCTCTAGAAGTGTCTCCATAACTACTCGTTGACCTCCAACTTATGCTCATCTCCATGGAGCTGGCGATGTTGCTCCTCAAGCCCTGGGACCCACAGTGAAGAGATCTTCTGCATATTCTTTGACAGCCATAGCTGCTCCAAACCACCCAACTCCTCAACATGCCTCAAATTGGGGCAACCACCTGCACGCAGCTCTCTTACTTGGGGAAGGTTGGAGATCCTCTCCAGGCCTTCACATCTTTCAACTAAAAGGCAACCAGAGAGGAACGGGAGGTCTTCCACCGTCTTCAAGTATCTTGTGTCTCTTATAAAGAGTTTCTTCAAGTTGGTGGCCTGCTGTCCAAGCTGTGGAGGGAGAGCCCTCAGCTTGGGGCACTCCACAAGTTGCAACTGCTTCAAACAAGGCAGCAGCCACGACGACCTTGGAGTTGGAGACGGGGCTTCCTCCCCCTTTTGCTTCGAAGCAGCAATTCCATCCTCTCCCCCTTCCTTGGCTGCTGCAGCTGCTTCCTCCTCCTGCACTTCTTCTTCTTCAACAAAGGACCACTCCTCCCAGTTGGGCATCTCCTTGAAGATCAACATTTCGAGCTTGGGGAAAGCAACTGCCTCTGTGGATCTGAGATTACCCTCCCAGCAGCCAACAAATTCGGGTCCAATCTTGGTGATTGCACTTGCTCCATTAATTCTTAGGTATTTCAAGTTTGGTAGCTGTCCGATTGGGGGAAGATGCACACAAGATTTGCAATCTACGAGGATCACAGATTTCACTGAAGACAAATGGGTACAACCAAGCCAGGTGGGGAATCTACAACCAAAGAAATTCCCAACAAAAAGATCTTCTAAGTTGTGTGGAGGTGTTAGCTTCTCGAAGATCTTTTCAATGTTTCTAGCATTTTCCTCTGAATATGCTTCATCTGTCTGTTCAGTGCAGTCTAGATTCAGAACTTTGAGATGCTTTTTCTCTGTTAGTAGAAATGGGTCTGTACTGCTGCGTGGAGTACCTCTCTCCAATTTTATCATACCAAGCTGCCTCAACTGTGGAAGATAAGCCAACTCTTCCAAATTCCATCCATCTTGTATTTTGGTATTGTCATTTCCACCACCGATAGGAAATCCTTCTAAATCATTGAGAAATTTCAGTCTTCCTATCCCTTTTGGAACCTGGTTTATTGGAGTACCAGCAAGACCAAGTCGCCTCAAATTGCACAGCTGAGTGGTTGCCAAAGGAAGGCGGTGCAGAGATTTACACCTCTGCAAGTTCAATATTTGAAGGTTTTGCAGGGAACCAATGGACTCCGGTAGATGAGAAATGTCTGTCCCATCAAGATCAAGCAAGCGCAGATGAATCATGTTTTCAATGTAATTTGGGATTCTTTGTACATGTGAGTTAGTCAAATCCAAAACACGAAGATATGTAAGTTTCTCGAAAAGTGAACTATCAACTTGCAGTGCCTTCTGATAGGAGGTTCTATACGTTCGCACTTTATATTGATCCTTATTGATGCTAGGTAACACCATCATGTCCTTCTCTGTGACAACTGAAATACGCCGCACTTTGCACATAGTATTAGTCCCTAGTGACTCTACGTCCCCAACAAAACATTCTTCTCTAGACAAATAACAAGCAAGCTGCCTTAAGAGGTCATGCATCTTACAGCTCCAGTGGTCAAAATATAAACCATCTGGTTGGAGCAAGTTCCGATGGATCAGCTCATAATAATATCTCTCTGCTGTATCTTCTAGTAATTGTCCTTTTTCCTCATCTATAAAGCCTTCAGCAACCCACATCCTAGTAAGAATGTCGCGCAAAATGGTTTCATCTTCAGGGAAAAGTGCACAATAAAGAAAACATTGCTTCAGTTGGTGCGGCAGCACTTCATAACTCAGATATAAAGCACCACTTAATTCACGAGGAAGTTTGCTCATGGACCAGGCATTTTTCCCCAATATCCGTCTCCATTCATTCTCTGTTTGTTCTTGGCTTGCTAAAACTGTAGCAATAACTCTGATTGCAAGAGGAAGGCCACCACATTTGCGAACAATCTCAATACCTATGTCCTTGAGATTTTGCACTTGTTTCTCTTGGTTGATGTTCATGCTCCTCCAAAGCAGCTCCCATCCTACATCAGCTGACATCAAATCAACCCTATGAGTGTGCTCCACCCCAATTACTCTAGCAATAGTGTCATCTCGAGTAGTTATTAGAATTACTCCTGTGGCGGCTGCATGAAGTGGAGTGCTTAGTAAATCTGTCCATGCTTCAGAGTTCCACACATCATCCAACACCAGAAAAAAACTTTTATTTGCAATGTGTGATTTAATCTTTCTTTGGAGCTCTGGAACTGATTCATCTTGCTCATATCGAATTCCCATATTACGAAGAACTTGTCTCAAAAGAGAATCCCTAGAATACTCCTTGGAAACACAAGCCCATGCATGATGGTCAAATCTCCCTTCTAATTTTTTATCATTGAATATTTTCTGAGCTAGTGTTGTCTTACCAACTCCTCCTGTTCCAACAATAGCAAGCTTGTAAACATTCTTTTTCTTGCGTGCAAGCACCAAATCCACCACTTCTCTGCAAGCACGTATGACCTCCTTGCCCACAAGGTTGGGTTCAACTAGGCTGGAGCTTTCTATTGGTGTCCATGCTGAACCACTTTCATTATGATGTCTGCGGTTGAGTTTTAAAAATACCTCATCCTTTGAAATGTTATCGATCTTTTTGTTCAGGCTTCTAATTTTTACAGCAACTTCATGACGTATACGAATATTAGAAAAGCAGGATGAAAGTGAAAGGCCACTGCAAGCAGTTGATTTCCTTGACGATGACATAGGATAGTCAGGCAGTAGGACACTTCCTTTAAATCTAGCCAAATCAATAATATCATCAACATCATACATAACATCTCTTAGCTGGTCAAGCCATTTTTCAACTACTAAATCTTCCATCCTCCTTGCCTCAGCATCCTGAAGAGAAGATCTTATGACGTTTGTTCTTCGTTGCAGTTCTTCAAGCTCATCTTTTACCCCTAAAATGAGTATTGTCTTGTCTGTAATGATCGCTTGCAACTTATTGATGCATGATCCAACCAATGTGTCTACTATTGTTGCCATCCGACAAACTCAAAAGGGGTAATCCACCATATATAATTGATCAATGTAAAAAATGCAGCCTGACATGTAACCAAACTTGTGTTAACATAGTTTAAAAGTTAGATAAGGCTGACAAAATATGAATGCAAGATGAAGTTTAGTAAATATATTATCCATCTATTCTTTGTATAAGAGTTTCCACTTAATTCGGTGTACCGTGCATGTTGAGTCTAATGGCTAGCAAAATTGACATTTATGGTTATGTAACCACAGCCCAAGCATCCAAACAGGGTCTATATTATTTAGGTAGCTTCACACATGAAAACCTAAAAGTTGCATGGCGGATACACCTCCCTACCTACTACTCTACTAGCTGCATCCCAAAAAAAGATCACAGAATGATGCATTCGAAACTTGAAGTACACATGCAAATCTTTTTTCGTTTTCGCCGGGATGCAAATCTTACCTTACAGAGCGATCATTCAGCACAAAAATAACATATGGTACATAACAAGGATCAGTAGTATAGTAGCAACCATCTTGCACAGGTTAACAGGTTGCTCGGTCCCATCTTGTACTTAAGATCTCAATAAACTGAGATTAATCAAGACCAAAGGAATCTGATTGAATAAGCCAGAGTATAGAATAGATTACAGAACATTATGAGCCAGTCATCAAGAGAGAACCGCAGACTGCACTGCTACAACTGGAAAAAGGGGACAGAAGAAAAGTGAAGTGTGTATTATATATGTACAACTGAAATGATTCAGAAGGTTAACTAGAAGAATCAACGGGAGAGTACCAGAAATACTGGTTCATGTGTTGACATTCACCGATCAAGGAGTGCTTCAAGAAGAGCAGTATATATGGGATTACTCAGATGAAGCAGATTTTTCCTTCCTAGTAGATCTCATCTCAATCAATCAGAAAGCAGACAGAAATGGACGCAACTGATCCTGTTGAAAATCCGTGCCCTGCAGTCAAGATGAGCATTTACGGATTAACTTAAGGAAATAAAGGAAGTAAATTCAGCTATATGTATTGAGCTTACCCACAGCCGGTAGAAATGCAGTGTAAGAATGCGACACAGTGGAACAAAGCAACAGTACTGCAGGAGGCTAGGGAGTGATTTAGGAAAGGTGGTAAGGCCTTACATATATTGTATAGCTGAACATTCAGACTAGCTAGACAACTGCTGAACCACTCTTCTTTTCTTTTATCTTTCCCATGGTACTATCCCTGACAAAATTTTAAGTTATTGTCCACATGTCTATGCTCCACAACCCAACATTTTGTGTATATTCATCAGAAGAATTGGACCGGCTTAGTCTCTCCCTGGCAGTTTGATCTTGTTTGATACTCCTTGGAATGTCTGTTTATTCCCTAGTACTCTGTATCTAGGATAGTCATCTGGGTTAGGCCTGTAATGGTTAGGCTGATGGTCTTTTGTTCCTGTCCCACTCAGTGGTCAGGTTTATCTTTAGTTCTCCTTTTTTTTTTTACTTCTCAAGACTTGTTGTAATGACTATCATTTCTAGTAAGAGAAATGGGGGCGCTATCGCCCTAATTCTAAAAAAAAAATTTGTGTATATTCATGAACCGTCTAGGTAGCTATGGCTACTCCTTTTCTTATTCATATCCCCAATCATCACTAAATGGTAATTGATTTCCTGCACACTAGCGCTGAAGCAATTGTTCTAGTAACACCATGGAAACGCAATGGTCTTTGTCAAAACGTTAGGTTTGTTAGAATGCAAATGGTGAGGCTCCTGAGAGAGTACTTAATTCCTACTAATAGACCTTACAGATTAGTAGGGAACTTTGCGTTTTCCTTTTCGTACTTCTATTAGCTACACTCACATATTCTAGGGCACTGATCAACAGCTGCAATAGTATATTGCAACGATTAGCTGGCGCCTGGGCTCTGGCGATGTGATTAGTTTACAGTTTATTTCGATGTGATTAATTTAGAGTTTGCTTCCAAGATTCCATGATGTGAAACCAGCTGCGTGCTTTATTGCCGTTACAAAGGGGTGAGCATACACATGCTTGAGTTTTGTTTCCTCCGTCACGGGCTCAATGGCATCTCATACTCATTGTTTGTCGTCTTATCCCTCGATTTGACTAGTAAACATATACCAATTCATGGCATAATGCAAAGCTCTATTGCCTTTACATGCAGCATAATAGTAGCATTAATTACAATTAATTTACATGTCACTCCCTCCATCTGTGATTGCAGCTGGGGTTGCAGCACACGAAGATAAGTGTCATGCCTTCCTTTCCCCTCGCTGTGCCTGCATGCAACAACAAAATCATTTTCAGCATTCAGATTTCAGTAGTTTCTATGTAATTCTGAACTCTGAACAAACTGCTTGGTTTGGCTCTGATCGACAATCCTGACCTGGAAGAAGGCAGCTTCCCCGTGGCTGCATGAAGCGCACTGGACGTACTTGGTGATGTGATTATAATTAGTTTACGTGAATATTATAGTCCATGGTGTTAAAGCAGGCGCGCACTTTGATTAGAAAAGAAAAAGAAAGACGTGCACATGATTAAGTTTTGTTTCCTCCATCATGGAATCATACTACTGCACATGCTTTCAGATTGATGACCATGTCAAAGAAGGAACATACCTGATCTGAAAGACTGAAACCATAGAGTTCACTTTGTATGTGTTCAGATACAGTGACTGATACTCATCCAGCTACAGAAGCAGAACATAGAGAACAAAGCATCCAATTGGTGACTTCAACAGGATCATTGATTCACTCCAAAGAATGAAAGAAGAGGATGCTACGAACTGAACACAATCCTAGTTTCATGAGCTCACACCTGACATTATCAAAGAAAAAAAATGCACTCAGATCTGTATAACATCAATAGGTTCTATAGCATAAACAGCAGTACATACAACATCTCTCATCAATAGGTATTGACATGCTCGTCAAGTGTCTGATCTGTGAGACAGAGAGAGGAAGATGAAAGAGCCAAAGCACATTATGGAAAGGGAAGACTCGAAGAACCTACGTGATACAAATCTTCGCCGGAGAGGAGCTCCGTGGCCAGTCGGCGGAGCTCCGGCGAGCAGCTGCCATGGCGGCGGATTCTCTCATCCAGGAGACTATCGCTCTTGCGGTCAGGCCGACTAATGGGCGTAGGCCAGCAAGCGATTCCATTTAATTTGTGGGCCGGGACGATACTACGGGGACATGCGGCCCGTCAGCGCAGGGCAGGAGCAATGTGAGGCCCAAAGTGTACGGGCCGTCTCTGGGGCGATACTTGGACTTTGGACCCTTTCACAGCCCAACGTGCTGCAAGTGAACATGGGCGGGATGCAACGTGGGGCCCATATTTTATGGGCCATCAAGGGGTTTGCGGATGACGTGTGGGCCGGGATATCTAAGGGCGCCTGAGCATTGGAGGATCATTTTCGAATAAGCCCTCAGATCATCTCGTATTGTCGTTGGAAAAAGGGCGCGTGGGTCGCCGACGCCGACGGCGGCGCTCCGGTGAGTGGCGAGGTTGATGGTGGAGAAGGGAACTACCGTTGCTGCGGGTGAGCGCTCCGATGAGTAAGTGAGTGAGGTACATCGTGGAGCGCCTGGTACGGCCGTCCAACCCCCCACCTCGGCGATGGCGCCGGGGAGCGGAGGCGGAGGCGGAGCTGGAGGGTGGGCCGCAGGGAGCGACAGAGATCCGAGGGTGGAGAAGTTGGAGCGCTCCATGGGCCCCTTCGCCGCCACGGCGCCCGGGGTCGACGGCGCGGCCTCTTCCTCTTCCTCGAGTTCAACCCAGGTACGTGACGCCTCCCTCCCTTCCTCTCTTCTCGTCGCTGGATAGATGTATTTCGCCACAGCTTTGATTGCTTTGCGATGCATTTGTGATTCAGTTCAGGGGAAGGATAATTTCTACTCCAGTTGTTAATTACTCGGAACAGATGATATGAAACTAGAGCACTGAACTGAAATAACTGGACACAACTCGATTCTGATTTCAGAGTCCATAAGAGGGTTGATGATTTGGGAGTGAACTCTAAAGCATAGAAGAGTTTTCACCTCCATCAGCAACTCAATCTGCAGTTAATCGCAGGTGGCATTTGAAATTTTGCATTTACAATTTTAGCCATTTTTGTGTGTACAGAAACCATTTTGCGGCAAGAACTTGAGTTCTGAATCCTGTACAGGAGATGCAGCAGATAAGCCATTGCTAGTAGAGCAGATTACAATGGGAATAATTAGGAAAAAGCTTACGTGGAACATTAGGAAGGTTGAAGTATCCAAAAGGGGCACTGATCAGCATCCCCCTGCATAACACATGAATGCATCAAAACTACAGTTAATTCAACAATAGGGAATAACAAGGGGAAAAGCTGGGGGTATTGGTCATAATATCTCTCCTGATGACAGAGTAACCAGCTCAGCTGTTCTGTTCAGTGTTTAAATGGAGAAGGATGGACTCGATAAAAAACGATGTTGGATAATGGAGGGAAAGCTTTTATTTTCGGTTCATCGAGATATACATGTATTTTGTGGTCCTTAAGCATCATCTGGTGGAGGAAAAAGGGTCTTGCACACAATCATTGCTGATGTGAAATTCAGTTAAGGTAGGCTGTAACCATCAGGGAGACTAAATTTGCTGAATATACACACAGTCAGACTGGTACTCCTACCATCTACCCATTGATCCATTCATTGATTCCTGCTCAATAAGAAGGTTGATGTGCTGATAATGAGCTGCATGGAAGTTGCAGAACCTAATAGAAGATTACCGGAACAAACTAAAAGTACAGTTATGTAGTTCTTATACTGCCATTTCTTTGGGATTATTGTCATATCTGTTATAGTCGATATTACAAAGTACTAGATCCTTTCATCCTCAAGACCGAGATCTAGTAAAGCAAAAGATATATATCTATGTACACAATAGCATGCCAAAAAATGGGCGCAATCTGAATCCAGAGTATATAAAATCACATACCTTGCATCAAACAACCGAAGCGTCCAAATAATTTTGGCATCCATACATTATCACTATGTCCAATTGTAGACAAACGTAGATGGATCAAATTCCCGATGCAACCTGGGATGCTTGGTACAAATGAATCAGTCCAATCTACAACACGAAGATAAGGAAATCTCTTGAAAAATGAATTATCAACTCTGAGTGTTTTCTCATAAGAAGTTTTCCATGTCCTTACTTTATATTGCACCTCGTCCATGCTAGGTAACATTACCATGTTCTTATCTGTGACGACTGAAACACGTCGAAGTTTAGACACAGTGTTACCTACCAATGATTCTGGGTTTCCAACAAAACATTCTTCCCTTGACAAATAACAAGCAAGCTGCCTTAAAAGATCATGCATTTTGCAGCTGCTGTGGTCATAATATAAACCATCTGGTTGAAGAAGGTTCCGGTGGATCAGCTCATAGTAATACTCGTCTGCTGTTTCTTCTAGTAGTTGACCTCCATGGTCCTCTATAAAGCCTTCAGCGATCCACATCCTTGTAAGATCATCACGGTAAATGTTTGCATCTTCAGGATATACACTACAATAAAGAAAGCATTGCTTCAAATGATGTGGTAACTCATCGTAACTCAGATATAAAGCACCTCTCAAATCATTTGGAAGGTTGTTCATGAACCAAGCATTTTTGCTCAATATTTTTTTCCATTCGTTCTCTGTTTGTTCTTTACTCGCTAACACTCTAGCAATAACCTTGATTGCAAGAGGAAGGCAACCACATTTGCGAACAATCTCAATCCCAACATCCTGCAGAGTTTGCAATTCTATGCTTTCACTGATATTCATGCTCTTCCAAAGTAACTCCCACCCTACGTCGGTTGACATCAAATCAACTCGATAAGTATGGTCCACTCCGATTTCTAAGGCAACAATATTATTTCTAGTTGTTATGAGAATTGCTCCCATTTCTGCAGCATGCAACGGAATTCTTAATAAATTTGTCCATGCGTCAGATTGCCACATGTCATCCAACTCAAGGAAAAAACTTGTCTCCTTAATTGCTATTTCAAGCTTGCTCTGGAGCTCTCCAATTGATTCATCTTGATCATGATGAACTTCCATAATTCGAAGAAGTTCTCTCAAAAGAGAAGCTTCAGAGTACACTTTGGAAACACAAACCCAGGCTTTTTTGTTGAAACTTCCTTTTATTTTTCTATCATTGTATATTTTCTGAGCTAATGTTGTCTTACCAACTCCCCCAGTCCCAACAATTGCAAGCTTATAAAGTTTTCTCCCCTTATGTTCAAGCACTAAATCTACCATTTTTCTGCAGGCATGTATGATCTCCTTGCCAACAATGTTGGGCTCAAGTAGGTGGGAACTTTTTCTCACTCTCAATACTGAACTGCTTCCAGTAGGAACCGTACTCTTGAGTGTCAAAAATACTCTGTCCTTCGAAATGTTTTCTATCTTCCTGTTGAGACTTCTAATCTTCACAGCAACCTCATGACGTGCCTGAACATTAGAAAAGCAAGTGGAAATTGACAGGCCAGTGCAAGCAATTGACTTCCTTGATGACGATGAAGGATGATCAGTTAGTAGAATGCTTCCCTTAAATCTAGCCAAGTCAATAATATCATCAACATCATATAGAACTTCTCTTAGCTGACCAAGCCAATTGTCAACTGCTGACTCTTCCATCCTCCTTTCCTCAGCATCACTAATACAACAATGTATGAGTTCAGTCTTCCGCTGCAACTCTGCGAGCTCTTCTTGTATCCCTAGAATAAGTATCACCTCTTCAGTAATAATCTCTTTCAACTTATTGGCACATGATCCAACCAAAGAATCTAATATGGTTGCCATAGGAAAAATCAGCAAGGGAGATCCACTTTTAACGTTTCAGAAAGTGACAGCATTGTAGGTTGGCAAGGAATGCACGATATCTGTTAGCATGATCTGAAAAATATATAATGTTCACTAAACCTTTTGTATTGATAAAATAGACATCCATGGGTATAACTACTGAATTGCCATTTATATTAATACAATAATTAGCTTATCATACTTAAACTAAAGTTCTAGGGACAAATCATGCACAGTATGAGGTACATAACCAACACTAAAAGTATTACATTCTTATCATGTGAGGTATTCATAGAAGTATGTTTTTTTTCTGTGTAGTGTAGTGTATCTACTCTTAATATGGGACTACAACTAAAGAATGGTTTATCTTTTACAATTACATAATTGTATATAGGACTGGTGAGAATAAGACTAACTAATTAACAGCAAACAATACACAGTCTAACATACTAAAATGAACGGAAGAAGGCAATTATTTCATAAAATCATATTCGATACTAACCGCTGTAAATTTCATATAGTGCAGTGATCCCTCTACCCCTATTTGGTTGGTGTGCAAAGTTCCAATTCATCTTGGATGATGATATCATGGTGACTTGGCGAGGGCATCATGTGGATGGTAAGAACTAGAACTAGAACATATTAAATCTGAAAGAACTAGAACAATGGGATTACCTTTAGACAGCTTCTTGGGTCAACGGGCAACGACGAAGAAGAAATGGGCAACAAGTTGAGAGGTTTTGCTTAAGCATGGAAGGCGAAGTGTTGCTGGGTGTGAGGCTGAAATGAGCCGGATCAACGTCTTCTGCTGGAGTACAAGAAGAAGATGACTGAGTGAGCCAACGTCTCGATCGACTCCAACCATGACAGGAAGCAGGAATTGAACAAGGGAAAGCAGAAGATATATTAAGTCCATATGGCAAAGAAGAAAGACTCACCCCAGTCCCCAGAGGCCTTAGGTGCGTACAGCCACAGCATCACCGGCTGCAAGGAAGACGATGAGCACGTTCCTGGTGATATACTGGACCTAGATTATGCAGTGGCAGAGAGGAGAAGACGGATATGAAATTGGTGCAGCTCGTTTAGTTTGGAGTATTCACAGCCTTTAGCAGTGCTGGACATGACAAAAGATGCTGTTAGGTGATATGCCCTGTCTGTCGCAGTGTGCATTAGGAGTTTGTTTTTCGCCAAATTGCAGAAAAGACAATTCATCGGTTTTGACATTCCAGAAGCCACCGTTCCTCTATTGTCTATATAGGGTCTGCTACATAATTTTCTCCATCATGCTAATAAAAAGATTCCCATGTCTCATTAAAGAAAATATTAGGAGTGAAATCTGTTGTGTCATTTCTTGACATGACATGATGCTGGTACAAAGTTATCATTGTTTATATCTTTCTGAAAGTATTTTATTTTCATATGTCTGGCAAAAGTACGCTGGCCGATTATTAAGTGAGGAGAAGTTTTTAGTACATGTATACAGCAAGCATGGTTATTAAGACATCCCTAGCCGCAGCAACCTCCCCACAGAGCAACTTGCAGGAGGTCACCAGAATCTTTCCAAAATCTATCATATTATTAAAGAAATAGAAAAAGAAGCCTCCACGTTCACTCTCATGGCCTAGAAATTCTCACATTAATCAGAGAAAAAGAAAAAGCAGAGTCCATGTAGAAATACAATTTAGAAATAACTGAAATTCGGAATTAAAAAATAAGTAATATTAGAAGAGGAGACTAGAGTCTATATAGAAATACAATTTAGAAATAGTTGAAATTCAGAATTAAAAAATAAGGAATATTAGAAATGGAGTATAGAGTCCATATAGAAATACAATTAGGAAATAACTGAAATTCGGAATTAAAAATAAGGAATATTAGAAGTAGAGCATAGAGTCAGTATAGAAATACAATTAGCAAATAACTGAAATTCGGAATTAAAAATAAGGAATATTGGAAGTAGAGTATAGAGTCAATATAGAAATACAATTAGCAAATCACTGAAATTCGGAATTAAAAATAAGCAATATTAGAAGTGGAGTATAGAGTCCATATAAAAATACAATTAGGAAATAATAGAAATTCGAAATTAAAAATAAGGAATATTAGAAGTGGAGTATAGAGTCCATATAGAAATACAATTAGGAAATAATACAATTTTGGAATTAAAAATAAGGAATATTAGAAGTAGAGTATAGAGTCCATATAGAAATACAATTAAGAAAAAAAATAGAAATTCAGAATTAAAAAAAGGAATATTAGAAGTTGATTATAGAGTCCATACTGGAATTTTAAACTAACTAAAATTTGGAATAAACAGAATAAAATTAAAAGTATAGTTTAGAGTCCGTATAAACATACAATTTACAAATAACTAAAATTTGAAATTAAGAAAAATATGGGAAGAAGAGTTTAAAGTCAATATAGGAATACAATTTAGAAGTAACTGAAATTCGAAATTAAAAATTAAAGAATATTGAAAGATGAGTTTAGAGTCCATATAGGAATACAATTAGAAATAATAAAAATTCAGAAATAAAAATAAATAATATTGGAAGAAGAGCATAGAGTCTATATAGAAATACAATTTACAGAAAAATTCGGAATTACCGCGAAATCTGCGCGGGCCACCATGCTAGTTATGATTGAAACAGAGTAGTGCATCTCATCTTCAAAGGATTTTGGGTGGCAACTGGCACCGCTCATCACCCCTAACTAGGGGTGAAAACGGTACGGAAACGGACGGAAACCATCTTTATTATTTTCGTTTTCATATTTTTTTTCGGAATCGGAATCGGAAACCTCGGATACGAAAACGGAATCGAATATTATCGAAACCGAAAACGGAGCGAAAACGAACAGGCGCGAATATGGTAACGAAAATTTATCGGAATAAAAAAACCCCTCAAACTAATAAATCCAATTGAATAAATTATCTATGTTTGAAAGAGTAATGTTGTCGATAAATCCCAATGTAGGACAAAAAATATTCTTCTGTAATTTTAGATTTGCATAACAAATATTTTTTAAAAAAATAACAGCCAAACACCATGGTATTCACTATTTAGCGCTTAAAAAAAGAATCCAGGGTATTTCAGTCACAAAATTTCTGGTAATTCCGAGAAAATTTCCGGAAATTCCGAGAAAATTTCCGGAAAGTTTCCGACCGATACCGAGTTCCAACGGAAACTGCCCTTTTCATTTCCGATTCCGTTTCTGAGAAAATATTTCCGATTTCGTTTCCGTTTCCGAAAAATTCCGAAAAAATTCCGACCGACCGATTCCGTTTTCGAAAATAAGTCCGGAATCCGGAAAGTTTCCGTACCGTTTTCACCCCTACCCCTAACGCTGTCAACTTTTCCAGTTGAACACAATCCCAGTTTCATGTACTCGTATCTGTACTGTATAACATCAATAGGTTCTGAAGCTTAAACGGCAGTACGGCATCTCTGCATCATTGAACGCTACAGACCAACAGAGGAACACGAACTCAACTGCTATCGACCAAAATTTCTTCGTTCCAGCGATCCAAAACCACAGCCTCTCTCTGCACCGTTCGATCATATACAGGCGGCTGAGATTAGACGCGCCTCGGAATCCGTGGGCCGATTTTCGTTTAGGCCCTCGTATTATCTCGTGTTGTCGTGTCGTTGTACAAGGGAGGAAGAGATGTCGAGACGCCGCCGCCGCTGCCGCCGGCGATGAGGAGAAGGGAACCGGGCGTTGCCCCTGGCGCGGCCTCTCCACTGCAATGTTCACAAAGATACCCCGAATTATTACTCCATCTGCAACTACACATTCTGTTAATCACAGTTGGCATCTGAACCGAAACCGAGAATTATTTTTTTTGAGAATATGCAGAACTTGCGTTAGTTGAGTATCTTTTGTATTAACTCTGAACTCTGAATAAACTAGTTGGTTTGGTTGTGATCGATAATCCTGACCTGGAAGAAGACAGCTTCGCCGTGGCCGCAGGCGGCGCACCGGACGGACTTGGTGCGGGGCAGGGTGGGGTCGCCGGCGACGTCCTGGAGCACCTGGGTGAAATCCCCGGGCGGTGTGGTGCACCACGTTATGGTACGCGCAGTAGCTCTACTGCCAGCTACCTCCTGTGATTCAGGGAATTGCAAGTTCAGTCAAGCAATGCAGTGACATTGCCATCCTAAACTGTTAGTACTTTTTAGCTCAAGAATGAACCTGAATCAACCAAACAAGGGCACTAGCTCCGTAGTAAGATCTAACTGATGTTGTGTTCTGGCCTATATGACAGTGGTAACGCAGTTGTTTCTTTTACAGGAAAAAAAAAAGGCTAACAGTTGGAACTGATTTCTGGAACATGGCTGTGTCCTATCTGCTTCTTGCTGACCTTCCCTCTCCTCGCTGAATTGTACCTGTTTTTTTTTTCTAGAAGCTGCAGGCAACTGAGATGATCTCTCTCAAGAAGGCGATTAAAAGATGAGAAAGATCAAATCTTTGTAGTATCTCCAAGTGTCTGGAGAACAGAATCTCACTTGGCCTTCCTGACGCCAACCAGTTCTCTGCTTAGGCATGCATTTGCATTGTGAAAGAGCTGGTTGACAGAGACAACGGCAGAGGTTTCTATGAGAATTCGGGGCTTATTTCCAGTCCTGTTGCATACTTGGGATCAAAACTTTTAGCGTTGAATCCAATGGACAGGTTTCACGAGTAAACATACAGAAATATTTCTCATCAAATATTGGAGTTTACAGGAGTAATTGTTTACAAGTATACTTGTTTTCATGCGTTTTTGTGTATCTGGCCAAACTTTGTACGTACTGCTAACAAACAGTGAATGATTTCCTTTGCCTAACTTGTGTCTCAATTCTCAACTCTCAAACAGCAGGATGCAAGGACTGAGAGGGGGATGAACTGGTGCATGTGTCTATCCCAATTGATTTTACTGGGAAACTACTTCACTGTGTTTGGTCCATATGTGGGGAGTACTGTTGTATCTTTTGATAATAGAATCAGATTTGTCCAACAGATACAGTTTGGCTGAAGTGCTGAACTGAATCTTGTCTGCACATCTATCTACAAGCTACTTGCATTTACCATTTAGAAAGCATATGGATTGCGACTTCAACGGGAAGCATTGATCTAACATTCTCCCAAACAGAGATAGTATAGGTTGATTCAGGTCTTGAGATGATGTGAATCACTGAACTCTACAGAGTACAGACCAACAAAGGAACACGAACTCAACTGCTATCAACCAAAATCTCTTCGTTCCAGCGATCCAAAACCTCAGCCTCTCTGCACCGCTCGATCTTATACAGGTGGCTTAGATTTAAGCATGCCTGTGACTGTGAATCGAGGGTTTATTTTCATATAGGCCCTCGAGTTATCTCGTATTGTTGTCGTCATGATCGACGGTGACCCGGCGGCGGCGGGATCTTCTGCGATAGCCTGTGGAGGCGCTGGCGATGTCGGCGGATGCGGGTCACTGGCGGCAGCAAGTGGAGGTGCGAGGTGAGGATGAGGACGGTGAGGTGGCTTTGCGTTCAACAGCAGTGGCTGTGGTGGTGGTGGCCATGACTACGGTCACCGGAGGCATGGCGGCCTCGGACGGCAAGACGAGGGCGTGGGAGATGGCTACATTTGGCCGGCGCGACATCGTTTGGTAGAGGGGTCGGTGACCGGCTTGGCACGAGAAGCGCGGCCGATGGAGGGAGGCCGGATTGGCGCGAGAGGCGCGTCCGATGGAGGGAGGCCGGATTGGCGCGAGAGGCGTGTCCGGTGGAGGAGGCCGGCTTGGCGCGAGAGGCGCGGCTGACGGTGGAGGAGGCGACCTAGGTGTGAGGAGAATCTGCTGGTGGGTGTGGCGCGATCTTCGGCGCTCGAAGGCTAGCCGACTGGGGACACCAGTGCAGGGGTCCCACAGGTCGGCAGAGCTTGTATGGTGGTGGGGCATCAGTGCGTCAGCCGTGGATTTGCAGGTGGTGAGCGGCGGGTGAAAACTCAGTCCGGCCTTGGTCGAACCAACAACGAGGTTCTCCCTCCTGAGGGTGTTGTCGTGTTGTTTCATCCCCCAAGGGTAATTGCCGGGCGAAAGCCTAGTCTTGGCTCCTTCGAGTCCCGACGGACGGCGGCAGCGGCTTTTCCGTCACTTCTCTTCTTGAAGACATCGTTTTGGCACCCCTATGGGGCGATCTCGTCAGTGTCCCTTTGTCGGCCTAGTGGCGGTCGGTCATACTTAGCGGCGGCCGGTCCGGTGCTAGCCTTCTCCTGGGCTTGTGTGTTGGCGATGTCGGTGTGTGGGTGGGGTTTTTTTTCTTTTTCCTGGTTACGACCCTCCAGGGTTGTAATCTTGTAATCTCGTGCGAGTCATTCAAAAAAAGTTTGCCTCCGCAGTGTGAAGGAGCAGGGCGGGTTAGGAAAGGGCAAGAATGTAAGTGTCTCTATCATCAATGGTATAGTTAGGTAAACCTTGTATAAGCAAAATCCTAGGGTTTGCTTACGGTTCCTGTAAAATAAAATTAGACCCAAGTGGGGAGGCTACAGGGGAGTTTTTGAAATACTCCTACAATATACTACTTCACTCCTTTTGGTCCACATGTCACATGTGGGGACTACTGTTGTGTCTTTTGATAATAGAATCTTGTCTGAATACAGTTTGGCTGAAGTGCTGAACTGAATCTTGTCTGCACATCTATCTACAAGCTGCATATAAAAAGCATTTCTAGTTGGATTGCGACTTCAACGGGAAGCATTGTTCTAACATTCTCCCAAACAGAAATAGGTTGATTCCTTTGGATATAGAGGCCGGATTTTATCCATTATCTAAAAAAAATAGGTTGATTCATGTCTTGAGATGATGTGAATCACTGAGCGCTACAGACCAACAAAGGAACATGAACTCAACTACTATCGACCAAAATCTCTTCGTTGCCTCAAGCCTTGCCTTCGAGCACACATTACTGCTTGGGTGGTCAAATTCGCTTAACCATCTTGTCTCCCCTTTTGTATCTATGTATCTCTTGTATTTTTTTTTCTTTCTTCCTGTTTTTCTCCCTTGTACCTCTGTTTTTTCTCATGTCTTTTCTTTCTGTTTTTTCCTTCTTCTCCCCCCTCTGTTCTCTTGTTCGGCTTTACCAGATTTTATCTGATTTGACCACCATTAATGCAATGGTTATAAGGTAGTCTCTACCTTTTGCGTCAAAAAAAAAATCTCTTCGTTCGAGCGATCCAAAACCTCAGCCTCTCTGCACCGTTCGATCTGATATAGGCGGCTGAGATTTAAACACGCCTGTGAAGTGTGAACTGGGGGTTTATTTTCGTATAGGCCCTCGAGTTATCTCGTATTGTTGTCGTTGCGAGCGACGGCGACCCGGCGACGGCAGGAGCTTCAGCGAGAGGCGATGGGGAGAAGGGAACCGGGCGTTGCTGCGAGCGGGCGATCCGACGAGCCAATGAGGTCATCCTCGAGCTCCTAGCGCGCGCGGCCGTCGAGCGAGCCCCCACCTCGGCGTTCGTGCCGGAGACCAGAGAATGTAAGCGACACCTCTCACTCCTCCCTTTCTTTTCCCGTCGCTGAATGCAATTCAGTTTTGCTTTGCTTTCTGCTGCATTTTGTCATCCAGGGGAAGACAATTTTGTACCTGTTAGATGAACTTGTTGCGATGACACTAAGCGCCTCTTTGAATTGGAGGAAAAACATAGGAATTTTGGAGGATTTCAATCCTATAGGAAAATTTCCTATGAAGCCCTTCGAAACAAAGGATTGAATCATATACAATCCTTTGAAATTCCTATGGACAATCCTAAAGAGATTTTGGAGGAAATTTAGCAAGAGCTTCAACCTCTTGGTAACTTTCCTACGAGTCTATCTCTCTCATCTAATTCCTGTGTTTTTCCTGCGATTCAATCAAACGGTCATTCCTGTGTTTTTCCTGCGTTTTGCAATCTTCTGTTTTACACTTACATTCCTATCAAAATCTTACGTTTTTCCTATTCCTATGTTTTCTCAATCCTGCGATTCAAAGGGGCCCTAAAAAGTCTGTGCACTAAACTGAATGACTGAAGAGCTCTTACAGGAAGATGAAAGGAGGACGCGTCCCCCGCGTCGCTCTCACGCGGGCGGCTCGGGGGCGAAACCCTAGCCACCCGTGCCGCCACACCCTCATCCCCCTCCTCCACCTCGCCGCCGCCGAAGCTCGCCGGCGGCAAAGCCAGTGGTGAGCCGGGAAGGCGGCGGCAAGGCCCAAACGTACAGCTCGGTGGAACCGTCCTCTGCGTGAGGAGGACGGAGAAGGCCGACGACGGCGCAGCCGAAGGTGAGACGGCCGATCGGTTTGGGGCGGCGGATCCGGCGCCTCCGTGGCCGGATCTGGCCCCCTCACCCACGGTTTCGGCCAGCGGGCTAGCGTCGCGACGGAGGTGGAGAGGGGCATCGAGCGGCACGAGGGAGGACGCGGGCCCCGGCTGGCGAGGCCCTCGGCCGGTGATGGGGGGCCACGCGAGACGGCGGTGGGGTGGCCGCGAGACGACGGCGAGGCAGCCGCGAGACGACGGCGAGGCAGCCGCGAGGCGGCGGTGGCCCTCGGCCCGGCGATGGGGGCGGTCGGATCCGGTGGCCCTTGGCCAGATCCACCACCCTCCTGGCTGGATGATGGCGTGCTGCCAAGGTGGGGACCAGTGTGCCCTCGCCAGAGCGGCAGTGGGAGGCCGGCGACGGCGGGGGTCTGGTGCTGCGAGGAGGCGGATGCGAGGCCCTTGTCGGCGCAGTGGCAACCTCCAGCTACGCCCACTGGCGTCTTGACGAGGTGCAGCGGGGCTGCGGGCGCTTGTGGCGACGGTGGCAGCGGCATAGCGGGGAGTGGGTGCTCGTGGAGGCGATGGCAGCGGGGAGCTTCGACGACCAGTACCTTGGCCGCCTTGGCCGGTTCTGGTCGGTGCAGCAGAGGAGTGTGGGCGATGGTAGGATGCGTCGAGGGTGGAATGCTTGTGAGTCATCTTGGACTATCGTTTGGTCGTCGATGTGGGGGTGCTTGTGTGGGTAATGTGCAGACGCTGGCGAAAGCCTTGCTGTACCTTTGGCCGGCTCGATGACGACGACGCACCCATTGGCGCCATTTCCCTTCTTGAAGGCGTTGTCAATGTGCTCTCCCATTTGCCCCACAAATCTCCAAGTGAAAACCTTGCTCCGGCTTCGGACGAGCGGCGGCGGCGTTACGCGTCGTGTCCTCCTTGGGGGCGTCGCTTCGGGGAAGTTCCTTTACATCGATGACTATTGAGGGTCTCTTCGGTTCAAAAGCTTTCTTTCCTTGGTGCTTGGCGAGGCCTAAGCCTCTTGGGTTCGCTTCGCTCTTGTGGTGGGCGACACACTCTTCGGTTGTTTCTACGGAGGAAGTCGGAGCTGCTCGCTGCTGGGGTGCGGCGACGCTTGACAACGATGACGTGTTGCGGTCTCTTCCAAAGAGTTGGTGCTGGCCATGTGAAGGAAGTGGCTCTTTCATGGCTTGGCTGATGTCCATTGTGGATGTCGGAGCTGCTTTCGCTTTGGCAACTTCCGTGGCTTCAATGTCGCTGCAGTGGTGAAGTCGGCGCTGCTGGGTTGCTTGGCCGGCTAGCTCGGCAACGATAACACCTCTTCTATGATGTCGGAGCTGTTGTGCCACTTTTGTGTTTAGCTTGGCAATGATGTCTTGCGTTTGGGCTCCGCCGTTGTTGTTAGTAGTGTAGTTAGGTCCCATGTTTTCCTCTGTGATGTCGGTTCCCCATAATTAACCATGCAGCTGTATGGGTTTCGGGCCCGATGTCTCTTGTCTGTACAGTTTCTCCCTCTCTTAATATAAAACCAGCAATGCTGGCTTAGGTTTAAAAAAAAAAAGAGCTCTTACAGTAATGAACGCAACACAGCTGGATTCTAATTTCAGAGTCCATGACAGTGTTGAAAATTTGGGGAGTGAACTCCAAAGCATTAGGAGATAACATTCTCTGAACATTACGATCAAATGCCATCAGGTGAAATGCTGCTAAGTATCTGAAACTGGATCTAGGAATTTAAACTTCTGACGAACCGCAGCCTCCACACCGCAGTGTTCACAATTCTCAATTCTCAAACAGGATGCAGGGAATGAGAGGAGGACGAACTGGTGAATGTGTTCGCCTCCATTGCTTTCACATGAAAACTGGTTTGCAATGAGGTCAAGCTAAAATAGTTTAGAAACAGAATTGCCCAATAGAGCACCAGAGTGGATGAGTGTCTAGAAGTGTTTTTCAGTAAACTATTCCATCAATAAAAATGCAATTAACTTGACAAGAGTGCAGAAATTTTCAAGAGAACTTTCACTGCTCTAGATAGCAGCAGCGCATTGTTTCACTTAATGTCTATACACTATTACCCCCTGCTCCTTTTCCGGGCTTGGGACCAGAAGTGCTTCAGCGTTGATGACTTAGGGGTATTTCAGTCCAAAAAGAGATGCAAAGATGATAAAATAAATTTAAAATGGAAGAAATGATGAAAATGGTAAAGTGGCGAAGTGTACTCAGTTCAGGATGTTATTCTAGCGAAGCCCATTTAAGTGATGGTATTTTTACGAAGCCAATTTTACGCGATGGTACATATGCAATTTTCTCTTTTTCGGGCTTGGAACTAGCAATGCCATTAAAGATGCACACCCAAGATGGCATAGGAGGAGCTACCTACACACGTGCAAGACAAAAAACAAAAACACGTTTTTTTTTTCATTTTTGGATCTGTATCCCTTTTTTGACTTTTTTTTTGTAATTTTCGTGTTCTTTTCACTCTTTTTTTTTTCAGTTTTTGTAATCTTCCAAAGACCAGCAACTAGGTAAAGACAAGAAACAAATGAGAGGAGCAAAATTGTTTGATCCTGCAGCAAAATTGTATCTTGTTGTTCAGGACTTCAGGCACATTTGGGCTCCAAGACTTGAAAAAAATTTTTGCTCCTCATCAGGTCATGGTCGGCACTGAATTTCCTTCACCTACTTGTCAATTCGCAGCTCTTAGACCTGGTGGTCTGGTCAAGCTAGCTTAAATAGTTCAGAATCAGATTTGTCCAACAGAGCAATAAGGGTGGATGAGTCTCCAGAAATGTTTCCACAATTATTCCATCACTGAAAATGAAATTAATCTAATAAAAGTGCAGAAAATTCCCAATGATCTAGCAACGGAGCATCATTTCAACACACATCTATACCAAACTATCCCCTCCTCCTTTTTCCGGGCTGGGGACCGGCTATGTCATTTAGTTATACCTACGATGACATAGGCGGAGTTACCTACACACCTACAAAAAAAAATAAAAAGAAAAGAAACACACACGCAAAATCTAACGAAACATGACAATATATTTTACAAGAGCTAAAGAAAATATATTTTTTATTTTTTTGACATTTTCCCTTTCTTGATATTTTTGTTTTATTTATTTTTTAAAAAAATAAAATTTTTTTAATATTTCAAAGACCAATAACTAGGTAAAACAAAAATACATATTACAAGTGACTGCACAGCCCAAATTCTTCAAGATTAACAACCTACAAAATAAATAAGCACACAGAAATTAATCATGGATGTATATATACATAAGTATTTTGGTAATTTAATAACTTAATTAAGGAAAAGAAAATATATGTGCTATCAGTTTTTCAACAATCATATTTTCTGGAATTGAACTTACCAAACAATACACGTGCATTACAAAAGGCATAAGGAAAAGACACACATGGACTATACATAGGCATGCCGATCAGCAATATCCTCTTCTTCTTTTAACAGGTAGAACACGAACAAAACTATTAATCAATTTGAACCAATACAAAGACATTTAGGTGGCTTTTTTGTTTCACCAAACAAACCTTAATTAATTAGGAGCCCTACACTAGGAACAGATGTTGGGCGGACTGTGTGCTGTGCCGGCATGGCCCATTTGTCCGTGTCGTGCTTGGGCCAGCACCTTAGCCCATGGGCTTACACGGCACGGCATGCCTGTTGACGGGTCGGCACGAGCACGGCCCAGCTGCCCATTTATTTTCCCTACAATTTTCTAATTTTTCCCATATTTTTCTCATATTTTTTTATTTTTTTTCATATTTTATCCTATTTTTACCATATATTTTCTAATATATTTCGTATATTTCCTAAATTTTCCTCACGTTTGTCCTGTCTTCATTCATTTTTTAACTTCATATTATTTTTCCCTCAATTTTCAATTTTTTATGGGCCACGTGCACGGCCTGCTACAGTTGCCGTGCCTTAGTGGGTCGTGCCACTAGTGGGGCCGTGCGTGTTGGGCCGGGCCACCCATTTGGCCAGCTATAGTCATGGTACTGTAGTTGAGTATTTTTAATTGAATTAATTAATTAGTTTTGGATTAATCATCATTATATCCGAACCGTGGAGACTTCCCTCACTGTTTTCCAAGTCAAATCATGGTAAAGTACAAGAGACCGGATGCCCGAATGCCGCCATTCCAACATTTTTTTAAGCAAAATAATCATTTTAACCCATGTATTCAACCACATGTACAATTGAATTTCTTAAATATTTTAATAACCCATACAACGCACGGGTTGACGACTAGATCTAATGGTTGTAAATGATGGGTTCACCAGATTTAATAAAGATAAATGACAAGATGTTTTTGTTTTTCTCGGAATTTTTAGAAATTTCTTTAATTTATTAGAATGTCATGTGGAGGCTTAGGAGTGTTCGTAGGAGTGCTACGTGATGGCTTAGAAGCGTTTGTAGGAGGTTTAATGTACTTTAGGATATAATAGATTATAAAATGCTATAACACTTGTTTCTGTACTGGTTATGGACATTGAGAATAATTACAACACAAAGTTTTAAGGATTTCTGTACTAGTTTTAGGTGACAAGGTCAGTAATATAGGTACAAATATTAATCATAACAACTACCGAAAGTTTGACATTTTGTCTAATATATATGATGATCTCCTTACTAAGAATGATGCAAAGTGTACAACATCAATGAATGTAAAGTGTACAGGTGAGAATAACATTAGACATGCATGATTTTGGCTGAAAATATGCAAAGTTGGAATGAAATTAAAATATGTTTCCACTATTTTAGATAACGATAGAATAAAAATATGTATCAACAAATACAGAGCCAATGCCCTTACCTTGTGTCTCTACTAATCTACTGTCTTTTAGTTGGGTCTTCACATCTCACTCTCTAGGCCACGTGTAGACATCCAGGTGGCGGTACTGCTCTCGAAGCCCATGCACCCACGGTGATGAGTCCTCCATATTCACATCCAACCATAGCTGCTCCAAACTGCCTAACTCCTCAACACAGCTCAAATTTGGACAAACACTTACAAACAGCTTTCTCACTTTGGGAAGTTCTGTAACCCTCTCCAGGCCTTCACATCTACAAACAGAAAGGAAACCAGATAGGGATGGAAGGTCCTTCACCGACTTCAAGCAGCTTGCTGCTACAAGGGAGAGCTCTTTCAAACTGGTGGCCTCGTGTCCAAGCTGTTGTGGGAGAGCCCTCAGCTTGGGGCAGTTATCAATGTCCAACCTCTTCAAAGAGGGCAGCACACACAACCTTGGAAATGAGGCTTCCCCCTTTTCCGTCACAGTGGTTCCATCCTCTCCTCCTTCATTCATTGCTGCAAGTGATATCTCCTCCTCTTCGGCCACAGCAGTTCCATCCCCTCCTCCTTCGTTCATTGCTGCAAGTGATATCTCATCTTCTTCAATAAAGGCCCATTCCTCCCAGTTGGGCATATCATTGATGATCAACCATTCAAGCTTGGGGAAAGCAACTGCTTCCCTGGATCTTGGAAATTGCCCAATAAATTCGGGTCCAATCTTGGTAATTGCAGTTGCTTTCACAATTTTCAGGCGTTCCAAGTTGGGTAGCTGCCATATTGGTGGAAGATGTATGCAATATTTGCAATCAGAGAGGATCAAATATTTCAGTGAAGGCAGATAGACATTACAAAGCTAGGAGGGTAAGTTCTGACCAAGGAATCTCAGAATAGATAGATCTTTCAAGTTCTGTGGAGGGACTAGCTGCTCAAAGATATTCTCAACATGTTTAACATGTTCATCTGAACATGCTTCATTTGTTGGTTCAGTGCATTCTAGATATAGAACTTTCAGATGTTCTTTGTTTGTTAGGAGAAATGAATCTTCACTGCTGCAAGGAGTACATCTTTCTAGTTTTACCATAACAAGCCGCCTCAACTGTGAAAGATCAGCCAAGTCTTCCAAATTCCATCCATCTTGCATTTTTTTATTATAAGTTACACTTCCAATAGGAAATCCTTCCAAATCATTAAGGAATTGCAGTCTTCCTATCCCTTTTGGAACCTTATTTATTGGTGTATCAAGAAGACCAAGCCGCCTTAAATTGCATAGTTTCGTGGTTGCCAAAGGAAGCCTGTACAAAGATTTACACCTTTGCAGGTTCAGTACTTGAAGATTTTGAAGGTTACCAACGGACTCTGGGAGACAAGATATGTTTGTCCCATCAAGATTAATCAAACGCATATGAATCAAATTTCCAATGTGACTTGGGATGCTCTGTACAAGTGTGCCAGTCAAATCCAAAACACGGAGATATGTAAGCCTCTTGAAAAGTGGATTGTAAACTCTCAGTGACTTGGAATATGAAGTTCTGTAAGTCCTCACTTTATACTGCTTCTTATCCATACTTGGTAACACCACCGTGTCCTTCTCTGTCACCACAGAAACACGTCGCATTTTACTCATTGTATTACCATTTTGTGATTCTGGATCTCCAACAAAACATTCTTCTCTTGATAAATAGCAAACAAGCTGCCTTAAGAGACCATGCATCTTGCACCCACCTAGGTCAAAATATGAAAGGTCTAGTTGAAGGAGGTTCCAATGGATCAGCTCATTGTAGTATTCTACTGCTGTATCTTCTAGTAGTTGGTCTTTCTGCTCATCAATGAAGCCTTCAGCCACCCACATACTAGTAAGATCATCACGGTTAATGGTTGAATGTTCAGGATATATAGCACAATAAAGAAAACATTGTTTCAGTTGGTGTGATAGCTCACTGTAACTCAGATATAAAGCTCTTAGTTCATCAGGAAGATTATTCATGGACCACGAATTGTTGCTCAATATCCTTTTCCATTCATCATTTGTTTTCTCTTTGCTAATTAAAACTTTGGCGATGATCTTTATTGCTAGTGGGAGATAACCACATTGGTGAACAATCTCAATCCCTATGTCCCGCAGATGATGAACTTGTTTCTCTTCGGTTATGCCCATGCTCTTCCAAAGTAGATCCCATCCTACATTTTCTGACATCAAATGAACTTGATGGGTATGGTCCACTTTAATTTCCTGAGCTACTTTTTCATTTCTCGTAGTTACTATAACTATCCCCTTGGCTGCAGCATGCAATGGTTTTTGAAGTGAATTAGTCCACGCATTAGATTCCCATACATCATCTAGCACAAGGAAAAAACTCTTCTCTTTAATGGCTGATTTGAGCTTGTTTTGGAGCTCTTCAACTGATTTTGCTTTCCCATATCGAATTTTCATGATCCGAAGAACTTCTTCCAATAGAGAAGTTTGTGTGCTGTCTGTTGAAACACAAACCCATGCATGTTTATCGAAATTCCCTGTTATTTTTTCATCATTATATATTTGCTGAGCAAGTGTTGTCTTGCCAACTCCTCCTGTCCCTACAATACCAAGCTTGTAATCTTTCTTTTCCTTATTTTCAATAACCAAATCCACCAATTCTCTGCAAGCAAGTATGACCTCTTCACCCACAAGGTTGGGTTCAACTATGCTGGAGGTTTTTATCGGTGTCCATATCGAACCATTTCTCGGATGCGGTCTACGTCTGAGATCTTGAAGTAGTTCATCATTTGAAATGTTCGCTATCTTTTTGTTCAGGCTTCTAATCTTAACAGCAACCTCATGACGTGTCCAAATATTACAATGACACGAAGGGCAATTGCAACGTGTTGGTTTGCTTGATGATGATGAAGGATGGTCAGCTAGTAGGATGCTTCCTTTAAATCTAGCCAAATCAATAATATCATCGACATCATACATAACATCTCTTAGTTGTCCAAGCCAATTATTAACTGCTTCATGATCCAACCTCGTTGTCTCAGCGTCATTAAGAGAACATCGTATGTAATCTGTTTTTCTCACCAGTTCACTGAGCTCTTCTTCTACTCCTAGCACGAGTATTGCATTGTCTGTAATGATATCCTGCAACTTCTTGATGCATGAGACAATCAAAGCATCTAATACCGCCGCCATCAGGCAAACACAAACGGGGAGATCCACCAAGGCCAAAATACCAGATGAATGTAAAAAAAGGCAGGCTGGCAATAATTCCAATTCTGTTAACATAGTGAAAAATTAGAGAAGGTTCACAAAATTTGCCAAGTGATGTTAACAGAATTGGCATATTTTGTGAAAATTACAGTTGTATTTTGTAATTAAAATTTCAAAATGTGCCAAATAACGTTATTTCAAAAATTATAGTTGTCTTTTGGGTCGCCATGCTTACAATAGCAAGTTTGAAATGTAATGCCTCCTTTTAAGACCTACTCCCTCCGTTTCTAAATATTTGACGCAGTTGACTTTTTTAAATATGTTTGATCATTCGTTTTATTCAAAAAATTTAAGTAATTATTAATTCTTTTCCTATCATTTGATTCATTGTTAGATATACTAATATGTATACATATAGTTTTATATATTTCACAAAAGTTTTTTAATAAGACGAACGGTTAAACATGTGCTAAAAAGTCAATGGTGTCAAATATTTAGAAATGTAGTGAGTATTTGCATAGGACGTAATATGATTCAAAAAATGCCAACTGTTGGATCAGTGTGAAATGACTAGTCTAGACAATCTTCGAGTATCATAAAAAACATTTCTACAAGTCGTGACAGGACTTCGCATTGTGGTAATTAACGTCATGTAGAAACACCTCCCTACTAGTTTCATCCCGTAAAGCCTCCTTTTGGAACACATGAACTGTGGTAATAGAACTAATTTCTTTGAAAATATTGTAAAACTCATGTGTTTGAAAGGAAGTCTCAAAAGATCATGAAGAGAAAAGAATACGATATTTGAAGTGTGCAAGCAAAATTTACCTTACTGACTGTTTTCATTCAGCAGAAAAAAAAAGTATAGTAATAATAATTTTGCAGGCCTCATATACAGGTTGAATGGCCAACGTGTAGACAAGGCAACCAATAATTCAGCTCTTCCTGTTGATTGGATCAAGCAACCTATAATATTAGTGTTTGATTGCTCAAACATTGCAAAGTTACTTAGTTTGCCTCATCGACTTTGATGAACAATTACCTGGTTTAATTGTCCTGCCGGATCATGATGAGGAAAACATAATTCATTGCTCATGAGGTTGCACAATTGGCATAATGTTTAAAACGTTCTGCCGTTGATATTGATATGTTGATTTCCTTTTTTATTCTATAGAGCAAATAGTTCCTGAAGAATGTACTCTTATTCTGAATTATTAACAAAATTCCCTCTTCATCTCGAAAAATAGTTGCTAGCCATCATCTCGTAACCAGTTTGCATGACCAACACATCCACTTCAAATCTCAATTGAGTGAGATTAGTGAAGACCAAACACAATTGATTGAATGAGCCAAAGTACAGAATATATATACAGCAGAAGATTATGAGTCCAGCAGCAAGAGGAAACCATAGACCACGCTTCTACAACTGCAACAAAGGGAGGAAAGAAAAGAAAGGTGAAGTGTATGCACATTATATAGATGTAGAGCTAGAATGGCTGAACCCGAAACCCTAAACCAAACTTGGTCACTGGTACCTCTACTAACGGTATTTTTCCTTGTGCCGTGAATCACATGTTTGTGACTAAATTGGCGAATCCACATGAATCACCAAATTTGCATACAACAAATTAAAGCAGCAGCAAGAAAATACCGGTATCACAGCAAGTCGTCCATCTCTATTTCTCTCACTTCCTCCTTTCTACGAGATTTACTCCGATCTAACAAAAAGTACCTCGAGGTACCGGTACCTCACGGTACCAAAACGTTTATGATCATTGGATCTAGCTGAGCAGGATGAGTATTGTTAAATCCAACGATCGAAAACGATTTGGTACCGTGAGGTACCGGTACTATACCTCGAGGTACTTTTTGTTGGACCGAGACTTTTTACCGTCCAGCGGGGAAGCGGTACCAAATTTGGTCCATCGATCCAGGATGATCGGACGGCTGTCAAGCATCCAGTACCTAGCGGTACAAGCGCTCACCCCTCCCGGTACTAACCATCCGAAGGGTAAAACCATAATTTCGTGTTTAGCCTCAAAGCTGTGCACCTCTCGCTAGAATCCTGATTCAATGCGCTCGCCGGACCGTGCTCCACTGCTCCTTCCCCTTTTCTTCTCCCATCCATTGCAGCGAGGAGGAACAAACAGCCTCATCTCCCCACCTCGACTCGACAACAGGAATTCGACCCGTCACCGGCATCCTCGCCGCACGGCACGGCACTTACTCGTCCATGCCGGAAGTGGAACCATCTGTCTTTTTTTCTTTGCTTTTTTTTCTTCTCGACTCATCCATGATGGAACCATCTACCATTCTACCTTGATTTTTCCTCTCATCCTTCTTTTCTTCTCTTATTTTTTTCTTCAACTTAGTCCATGGCGGAACCATCTGCCTTTTTTTTCTCATCCTTCTTTCTTTCCTTTTTCTTTTCTCTACTCAGTCCATGGCGGAACCATCCGCACTGATTTTTCCTCTCACTCCTTTCAATCACGGTATCCTCTCATTATCACAAGATTTATGGCCTCCTCCGTCCATACTAATCGGCATCGCGTAGAGCAACGAGCAGTTAATCGCCGGCGGCGACGGATCGAGAAATAACAACACAGCCACCGGGCACCAGCTGAATAAAGGTCGTGGCACTAGTAGTGGTACCGCGGAAGAACACACAGGTGGCGCTGGCGGCAAGGAATGGCGTCAGAGAAGATGCCGTCGAAGAACACTCACGCGGCGGCGTGCCAGCGAAGAATCGAGGACGATGGCGAGTCAACAAGCAGTTCAGAAGCAGGGGCGCTCGGCAAATCGATTCTTTTTTCCCATCATGCCCCTTTTGATTCAATGGTTGGATTTTATTTGGTACCTAGCAGTACCAGTACCTGGAGCGTAAAAACTCTCATATATATTAGGACAGCAAATTAAACCGTTTGTTTGTTTGTTTGTTTGTTTAGAAAACATGAGAAAAAGATTATGGAATTCAAACTATGATTGTATCTACCTAACGATAATAATCCAATCACCACAATTTCACCAAATTTTGATTGTAGAAAAAGTATAATATGTTTAGATAACTTGAGACACTGCTTAATTGAAGTGCAAAAAGTGAAAAATATGTTAATAGTTCAACTGTAGTTGCTGCTACCCAGAAAGCACGAGCAATTCTACGGTCCTTGAGCAGGTACCATAAGGTACCAAAATTTTAGTGTAAAGGTACTATGAGGTACCAAAATTTATAATAGAAAAAATGGTACTTCATGGTACCTCCTCAAGGACCATAAAATTGCTCAGAAAGCACAGTCGGGATCACACAAAACAGTAGCTAGAGAAAGAATCTTTCACTTTACTAAAATCATTCAACATTCCAAGATGTGAAGAAGCATTACCTTTCATTACAGACCTATTTCCGGCATTAATCCTATGCCGACGGTAAGAATTAGCTATAGTCTTGCAAAATCAGTTTCCTGCAACTATCGACCCATTTGATTTTTCAACGGATTGATAGCATCAGTTTCCTGCAACTATCAACTCACTAGATTTTTCGATGGATCGATAGCAGAAGGTTCAGCAGGAAACCACCAAGATAAAACCTGAGATCACCTGCAAAGAGAAGAAAAATAAAAGAACAGGTGAATTGCAAGTTCATTAATAGAAAGCTGGTGCAACCAATGGTTAGAAGTAAAACACATCAATGGAAAAGAAGAAATTAAGGTTACGCCATATGAACCAGAGAATAAGAGAAATAACCGGAAATATGGATACAAATTATCATGCCATTGGTCAGAGTGCTGCAGAAGGACTGAAGGAGAGTGCTATATGTTCAGAAAAATTGGTCCCTCCCAAGTCCCAACTCCCAACAACAAGATCTCTTCAGTAAAAAAACTTCAATAAGAACAGAAATGGCCACGTTGATCATGGATCTTCGGCGACATGGTCAACATGGACAAATCAAGAGAAGAGCTAGGAAGAGAGAAGAACTCTATTTTTTTTCAATGTTAAGAGAGATGAACTCTGTATTAAGCAGAGGGATGGCTGGACACTAGAGAGAAACCGGTCTTGCATCACATCAAGAACGTACAATGAGACATTATAAAGTATGAAGACTGCATACAAGTCTACAAAGTCGCCGATGCTTTTTTAGTTTTTCCCCTTCCATTGTGTTGACTCTGATGTACCCCTCTAAGGGAGTAATTAGCAACATGGAAAACTGCAACTGTCACCAATTGTCAAGTGCCTAGGTGTATTGAACAGGACAAGACATGAGATGTAGGAGTAATATATTGCTAATATTAGTTGGCAATGTGATCCATTTACTTTGAGATTCCATGAGCTGAGTTGTTCCCATTAATCAAGGATGCAAGGAGCACAACTTGGAAGTAAATAGTCCGTACTATGTAAGTTGATGAAATTTAATGTTCTCATGAGAGCATAATGCCACCAACTCCATGTGATTGTGCCTTACACAAATAATGTAGTACGTAAGGTAGAAGTTATCAGGCATGACCCAAAAAAAAGTTCTTAAAAGGCATGTCGATTGTCTGTATACTTGATGATAAGGCTTAGTCATATGGTTCTCAAAGCAACCGTGAAGATGATGATTAGCTCCACTTGAAAATATCCATGCATCCCTTACCGAGTACATTTGATCAGCGTACTGATGAGCCTTAGCAAGGGTAGTTTGTTTAAAAGTTTCTGTTTATGCAAGATGCTTTTGAACGGCTAGGCTCTCCTACTATACCAAAGCATCGTACAATTGTAAATTGTGCAAAAAGAAGAAAAACTCATCGTGCATACAACCCCTTATTTTCCCCTTCAATTTTGCCCCCCTTTGGATACTGTTCGCAGGTTTTGTTGAATCAAATAGTACCTTTAGTTTTGTAGAATTGCTATACAAGAACACAAGTATAATCGCTACACATAATTTTAAACAAGAACAAAAAAAATGTTCAAGTGGACGTATGTCGTGAGGGAGGCTCACCTCACTGGAGAGATGCCTTTTGTGCAGCTAACCATGGCATCCCCCATCGTGAGGAAGACGATGATCAGCGCACTCCTGGTGATTCCATATACTGTACGAGATTTGCTGGGCTCTCATGCGGTTGCACAAAGAGGACAGGAGATGGCTGTGAGATTTGTGAAGTTCGTGTAAGGTACTACACTACTATTTAGTAGCCTGAGACGAGTTGACGGGCCTGAGGTGAGATGAGGGAGAGCTAAATCTCATCCACATGACAAAGCCATGCATCCATTGGCTTATACTCTCTCCATATTTTAATATATAACGCCGTCGACTTTTTAACCAACGTTTGACCACTCGTCTTATTAAAAAATTTTATGCAAATATAAAAATACGTATGTCATGCTTAGAGAACATTTGATGATAAATCAAGTCACAATAAAATAAATTATAATTACATAAATTTTTTGAATAAGACGAAAGGTCAAACGTTTGTCAAAAAGTCAACGGCGTCATACATTAAAATACGGAGGGAGTATATATTATATGAATGAAATCGCATATATAAATATGGGAAGGTTTGCTACCCGGTATTAAAGCTCGTGATGGTATAGTAGGTAGGTGAACAAAGCTAAAGCTTCTTGTTTCTAATATTTTCCCTTCTAGTTGCAATCAGTTTGTTGTTGCCGGCCGGTATCGATGTCAGGTGTCAGCATCGATGAACCATTGTACAAAACGATAAAAACGTTGACTTATTGACTTATGGCAGCATATGCATGAAAGTTCCTTCTATGATGATAAATGTAGCTGGAATTATGGGTGACTAAGTTCAACAAAATACTCTATCACTGTCTTTTTTTAAACCCCAGCATGGTGTGTTTGTATTAAAGGAGAGGAAAATACTGTATAATAGCCGTGAAGGCTAAGAGATTACAAAAGTGAGAAAGAAAAAAGGAAAAGGCTGGGGAGGGTGGCGACCACTAGAGAGGGTAAAAAGCATGTCTAATACTCCTTCCGTTTCACAATGTAAGTCATTTTAGCATTTTTCACATTCATATTGATGTTAACGAATCTAGACATATATATCTATTTAGATTCATTAACATCAATATGAATATGGGGAATGCTATAATGTCGACATTATAACATTCTTACATTATAAAACGGAGGAAGTAGTATATATGTTCATCAACCCTATCATGTCGACATATGAGGCTCAGGTTCGTGTTGAATAGAATGGGAGGACATATATTGTGAATATTGGATTTGTTGTATTGGGCCTCAGGGCAATTGTATATGTAGAATATATGCTTAGGTAGAAATAAGAAAAGATTAAAAATAAGTAAGACTAGTAAGACTATGATAGAAATCAATTATATCTGATATAACTCTAACTTCCATATATATACTTGACACTTCATTATGATCAATGCTAACCATTGGGTTGTTTTCTAGCCTCTTGTCCATTCTCCACTGATTCTAAGTGCACACTACCGATGTTGTTTTTTGGACAGATTTGAAGATATTATTAATGCTAAATTTAAAAGCATTTCAATGTATTTCGTCCAAATTCGAAGATGGGGACGAATTTTTTTCTGCTGGTTAAGAAAAATATCTCTTGATGATGAGGATCTGATATACCAAGATAGAACTGAGAGAGAATTGTAGAAACTTTGATTGGCCAGCCAAGGCTGGGCTAGCCCTGAAATGTTTGCGACCATATATATGGAAAACGACAAAGAGACAATTGCTTTTTTTCACTCTATTTTAAAGTCTAACTATAAATTTGACCCTATATTTTTAACTTTGTTCATTTGACCCTCTTTTTCAAAATCGAAGTGGCCGTCTAGCCCTATTGTATTCACACTGTGAGGAATAGATTTAGAAGAAAATAAAAAAATAAATTTAGAGAGGGAAGACTTATCTGCCACTGTTATTTACCAATACACGCCCGCGTGCCGCTTCCCCACAGCACACACGCACGCGCGGCTAGGGTTACATGGGCGACTGTCAGGGTTATGGATACCACATACCTAATAGTAGTCGACTATATCTCGGCAGGACCCACCACATACCATGTCTTATACGGAAACTGACTTCAGATATGGAGGGAGTTTTGGATAAGGAAAGACAACCAGAGTTCTACATGGAAACGACAAGTACCACTCGGACTATATCCATATTGGTTTCCCTAGTTCTATTTGGACAAGGGGACACCTATGGATATAAATACAAGGCCCCCTAGGAGGAGAGGGGACACGGACAACACGGAACAACAGAAGCCACAACATACAAGCCAACATACGCCAAGACAAGACGTCGGATATCGACTTCAAGGATAAGCACGGCTAACCCCATACGGTGTCTCCGGATACTGTCAGGAGAGACGAAAGCGCTATCTCTGATCTTGCCGGGCACGGATTCGAGGAAGAAGACTACCCTGTTGCCGACTACGAGTCAGACCTTCAGACCGCCATGTCGACAACAATTAGATAGGCTATCCCACATATTGTACTGGTGTGATTATGGTGAATAAGAGTAATACCGGCTTCGGCCAACAGGATGTAGGGTTATTACCTGACAATTCAGAGGCCCGAACCTGTATAAAAATCCTCGTCCCCATCTCTTTTACCTCAGTCTCGCGTATATCCTAGTATCAACGATCCCCATACTATGCAAATACCGGAATCGCGACATCAAACGTTGACAGAGGCGCGCCAGGTAGGGGGATTTTGGTGCTTCAGGATTTCGACGAGATGGGTTTAAGAGATGGATTCTCCAACAACAAGCTGCTCGATAACTTCGGCTGTGGGAAGATCTAACCCGACCGGAGTATGTCTTCCGACGAGATCCCGACTTCACCTCGCATGCATCGGATGCACTCTACCGTGACCAGCACCCCTGTACGCTGTACACATACATGCCTATGCATACGGATGCATATTGGTATGTACAGAGCTACGGTCTGTGCATTGACCGGCCAAGGAAAATTAAGGTAATTAGTGGAATAATTAATTTAATTGATCTACTTATTCCGTAGATATATCCGGCATATATCTACAAAGGTACGCAATATTTTATATACAATTTACCGTACCTATTTTCAGATATTGTCAGATCAATTATGTTTACCTAGAGCATGCTTTTTGTACAATATCTGTTGTGCGAGTGTCCCTGATGTTAAACCGACTACGGTTTAATGCCGGGGGCTCGCTCTATTTTATTTTGTACAAATCAAGCTTGTTTACGGTTCACGTAATGCCTGATATTTACATCTGCTCGTTATATCCTGATAATACTAGAAGATTTATGCAGTTTTTTGAGTACATACTCGATATTCTCTGCTATATTTCTTGCCTTCTAGAAAATATTTTTCAGGAACAATTGAGCACTCGAGTAGGTTGTGGTCGAGTACACCCCATTATTGAGAACGATCTCGACAAATGCAGAATCGTCGCGCCCAACCTACCAACGAAGACCGATGACCTATCTCATAGCACCAGCTGTCACGTCCTGATAAATTCATCCCGAATTAAAAATCATTCTCTAAAAGGAATAATAGAATTTATTTAAAATTCGAAAAGAAATTGGCAAACACTAAAATACGTACAAGAAAAATTCAAATGTGGCCCGGAGAATTTTTGTTAAATTCTCTTTGGTCTAAAAGGAGCCCTCAAATTTTACTTGAATTTTCAGAGCACCGAAAATAATTATTAAGCAACAAAAACAATTATCAAAGTTTATTAAAAAGAAAAACCTAAAAATAATCCTCCTTCCTCCTTTGGGCCAAGTCTGGCCCAAAGTCCTCCCTCTCTCCCCCCGGCCCGCGGCCGAAGTCCTTCCCTCCTCCCTCTCTTTTTCCTTCCCCCTCTCTCTCTCTCTTGGGCCGCCCTCCCTCCTTCCCCGGCCCACTCCCTCCTCCTCCCTCTCTCCCCGGGCCACCCCTCCCCTCCTCTCCTCCTGGGCCGGCTGCCCGGCCCACGCCGCGCCCCTGCCTGAGCCGCTCCCCTCCCGCGCACGTGCGTTGCACACGTGCTGACCGCGCGCCCGCGTGGGGCCCACGCGCCAGGACGTCGTCTTCCTCCCCCAGCCGGCCTCCTCCCTCTCCCGTGAACCCTAGCGCCGTTCCTCCCTCAAATCCGCTTGATTCATTTGGCTAATTCCAAAATTGATTCGGGGGTTTTAATCCCCATTGAATCCTCTTCAATTCCCCCCAATTTCCCCCTTGAATCGTGCCCCCAATCGCCGGGAACGCCCGCGTCTTCCCCGGCCGCTTTCCATGGCCGCCGGCCGTGTTTCCCGTCGCCGTTCCGCCCTCTCCCGTGCCCGGCTCCCTCTCCTCTCCTATAAAATGGAACCCCCTCGATCCGTTCTCCAGTTTTAGCCCCCTCCCGCATTCTCCCGTGGTCCCTAGCCACCTCCCCGCCGTCGCCCTTCTCTTTCCTCCGCGCCGGGCGCCTCCACCGCCTCTCCCTCCTCGACCGTGCGCCGGCCGGCCGTGCCGTCGCCTTCCCCGGTGTTGCAGCCGCCTCCTCTCCCCCGGCCTGTGTAACATACCCGAAATTTTAGGACTTAAGATTTCTTGTCAAAATAGTTAGAGGTTAACTTCTCCAAATTTCGAGAGCCAAAAATTTCCGTTTTAATTTAGGTGATGATCAACTTAAACCATTGCATGATTAAAATTTGAGAACAAAATAAAACCTTTTCATTCCCAACATTAGACTAGAAATGTCATCAAGCATACATGTACATAATGCATGCCTAGGCTCGAGTTCTTTGTGCATTTGGAGTTTTGGTCTTGCATTCCATAATAGATCCCATGAGCATAATCTAAAAGAATTATTTCACTAAACAAACCTATAGTTAATCTTGGGTGATAACATATGGACTTAATATTAAACTCAAATATCATCTTCTCAGTCTAAAAGAAGTTTAATGTAATCCCTATAATAATATTAGATGCAATTATGAAGTGGGAACACATATACAAACAAAGGTCATCTTAATTCTCTAAAATATTTTGTGCAAGATAAAATCATGGAAAAATTTATGTGGACAGTGATTAGCACAAACTTGTCCTCTGTAATTTGGTAACATGTTAACACTCATGTTGATATCTCAAATTAATCGGTTGAAGCAGACAACTAAAAGAAAACAAATTAAATTTAATCGGCTAAAACCATATTTCATCCAAAAGTACATTTAACTGCACATAAGTGAACATGGGAAATAATTTATTCAAATACTAGATTAGTTATCATGAATAAATGTAATTTTTCTAGATTTTTCCTCCTCTGTTTAAGCCTCCTAAAAATTCAATCTAGCTTTCTAATAGCCCATCTTTGTTTAATTTCTGTGAGCAGTCCACCCATTATTTTTGAGTGCAACCAAAGAAAATGGAATCTAGGTGTAATCATTTACCTCCAGTAAAATCAACACTAATTAATTTGGTCCACACATTGAATTATGTAGTTACAAAGTTAGAGGAGAAAATAATTCCGAAAATTAATCTAAAAATCAAGTTTACCAGTCTTCTACCCATATCTCTCTCCCTGGCCTAGTTTCCATCGAGTTGGCCCCACTTGTCAGTGCCTTAGGCTAGGTTCAGCCCTGTCCAACACTTCCTCCTTCTACACCTCTCTCTTGCCTAGTGGGACCCCATTGTCAGCCTCACATCCCTCTCCACACGGGCCCACGACTCAGACCCCGCGCGCCACGCGTGTGAGCACGCGTTGAGCGCGGAAGAGGGCGAGCTCCTCCTCCCCATCTCCGCCGGCGACCGTACTTAACCCGACCGGCCGACCAACTCTCACTCTCTCTCGCCCCTGTCTCGTTTCGCGGAAGAACCGAGGTACCCCGCCTCAGATTCGCCGGGAACGGGGGTGCCAACTCCGGCGCCGGTGAGATAAGTCCTCGACGCCGTCGAAATCCGGTGAGCTCCATTTCCGTTCAATAAGCGTTCTGTAATTCCCTCTCAATGCCGTCTCTAACGCCACCAAGAACGCCTCTTTTAGTGCAGCCAATCTCCGGGAACGCGACCGCGTCAACTCGGAACACCGTCGTGCTCTGGCCGCCGCCGCCATTCCTTTCTTTCTCCTTCTCTGGTGAGCTTCGGCGCAATCTTTTTCGCCTAGAGCTACCTTGTGCTGATCTAAACCGAAGCATGCACCCTCTATATGCAGTAGAAGCCCGGGAGTACACCGTCGACGACGACCGTAGCAGTTGCGCCGTCGCCGAACCAGTACACCGTCGCCAAGACTTCGCCGAGCCGCGTTTGATTCTTGGTGAGCCTCCTAGTAGTCCCTAGAGTCCTTATCATACGCATGCACGATTAAATCGAGCCTCAAAACCCACATGCATGTGCAAGCCGAGCTTAGCCACCGCCTCTAACACCCTAACAGCCGCTATAGAGCACCAAATCTTGCCAGAAAGCCACCAATAGGTTCGCACGGTTGTTCTCTACACTTTTTGTTTTGGGAGCTTAAGCTGAATCGCCATTGTTCGCCACTGGTGATGCTGTGAAGCTCACGGCTGTGCTGCTGCTCTGCTCTGTCCAGAGCAAGGGCATGGCTTTTGAAATTTAAAGACTCCCAGGGATGTATTAACAACTGGAACAGTCACTTACAAGTAGGACCAGTAATAATCTGTAAATAAACTAAAACTCAAGCATTGTTTTGCATACAAACCTAAAACTAGGGGACTGCGGGATCTATTTCCCGAGAAACCAGAGGTTTTTGCGCAAAATGTTAGTAACTGACATATGGGCCTAGGACTGCGGGTTGATTCCTAGAAACATCAAGGGCCTTTGTGCATATTGGTCCCTCACAGCCATGTGGACCCATCCTTTAAAATCTGAAGAAAAATTAGGAAAATGCCCAAACAATTATATGTTTAGCAGAAAAATGCACAAAGTTGTAAAATCTATATAAAATCAAATATAGCTCATTTTGAAGTGATTCCAGTTTCTGTAGATTCTTGAAGTTATGAACTTTATTCCAGGAATATAAAACTTGACACTTACTGTACAAATAATGTCTCTAAGATTTATCTAAGATAAGTCATGCATAAAACATGTACAAACTTATAAAATACATAGAAAATTCATTTCAACTCATTTTGAAACAAAATCAAATTCTACAGATTCATCATTCATCATCATACAATCTCTGATTAAGTGAAATAAAAGTAATTACTTACTTTGCATTAAAAGCCTCTAAAACTATTATCTTTAAAATGACTAGTTTTAGATAAGCTAAACTTTAGAAATTCATGTAGAACCCAATTTAGCTTCAATTTGAATAAACTTAAGTTATGTAGGATCACTAACACAAGTATTTCCAAGTTATGAAATAATATTATATACTTGCTGTGTAGTAAAAGTCTCTAAATATTCATATAAGGATTTACTAACATAGAGCAGCCATTAATTTGTAAAACTTGTAGAAAATTCATTTTAGTCCAAATGAAATGAACAAAGTTTCTATAGAACCAGCAAATAGTTATCTTCAACATAGTAAAATAAAATTTGGCACCTTCTGTAGAGAACATTGATCAAAACCTTAACTTAGTGAAATAAGAATTTAAACACATAGTGTTGTTTAATTAATACATAAACATGTATAAGTATATATATACACTTTAGGTCTAATTAAACCTAAATAAAAACTTGATTGACCAGTGAAGCCATAGTTCCATCCTCATCCACTAAAACTTAGAAGAACTTAGCTCATATAACAATTTCTAGGTTAATATAATATATTGCTAGTTTAGATTAGAGCATCTCTAGTTTATAAAATATGAACCATACTAGTAAAGACCATAAACATGTGAACTAAAAATGTTTTAGATAACCAAATTATTCCTTTTATTCAACTTATACAGGAAGTAGCATGTTCTGAACCTATAACTCAAAAGTCATGAACATATAAAACACTATACACCAATAACACGTTATAACTTGTAAAATGCATAAAGAAATCATTATAACTCCAAAAATTGTGAAACCAAATGTGTTAGTCTTAGAAAACACAACTTCACACTCCTATGAAGTCTAATCTAGTAAAAATCACTTTACCAAAGTATTTCATAACACTACCTAAGACTATACTACTATAAACCGATAAAACTTCTAAAATTCATAACTCCCAAATGGAATAAAATAAAATAGGAATTATTTCACCTAAATTCATTTTAGATCAGTACCAACCCACTGTGCATAAATCATGCATTTTAGAGCATTTTGGATTTTCAGCTCTTTCGGTGTTTAATTGGATATCGTGTCCTTTATCTAGATAATTGCATAATCGGTGAAGGAGTGGATTAGGTGCTAACAATTCTCTGATCAAGGCAAGTTTTCTCCTCCCATCCTTTGAACACATTGAATCCCATGATTTGAGGAATGAAAATATTTGTTTGCAAAGTTGCATGTGAACTTAGACTATATCGGTATTTGAAATTGGGTTAAGGTAGTTATGACCTATTTGCTGCATATTCCACCTTGAATAATTGATCCTCTTGCTGTTTGAACCCCTAGAAATGGTTAGAGTACACTCTTTGTGCTCAAATGGGTTTATATATGCTCTATGTGCAATTACTTGCTTAGCCATGCTTAGAAATATGCAAATGTTCATTCCATCTATAATTAAAATGTGATTTTGATACTTGAACCTTTGCTGGAATAAAATGAATATGATGGGTATTTGCGAACTAAAATGTGTAAAATGTGATTTTATACTTGGGCAGCAAGTGGTGTGCATATAGTGTTAGTTGCATACCGATAGGGGGAGTGTTTGCCCAAGTCCATAAGGACCGAACTTGTGTCACCCATTTAAAGTTATTCGTACATCCACATGTGCTAGTATGGGATGGCCTAAGCTGATTAATCTATTTAGGACTAGCCTTGCATTCTGGTAGGCCGGTGTGTATGAGTTAGTCGATAATTATGAGGAATTAGTCGATGATTCAGAGGAACTTCCTATTTGCCCCGACGTGGTAGTTTAGGTGACTAAGTCTGTCCAATACAACGGTATTGTGCCACGTGGGTGGGTTCCCGTTGTGTCCGCCACCACGGCGTTAAGTTTAAGGCGTGGGCCCGCCACTTAACGGTTCTAGACATATTTCCAAGTATGCCTAGGATGGAGGAACACGTATCGTGCTGGTGTAAGGCTAGATTCTAAGTAGTGTAAAGGCTTCGTTATGACCTCTAGATCACATTCAACATGAAGAGTGTGGTGGAGTCTTGCAAACTCAAAACAAACTAGAGAGTTCATATCATGTGGGTAAAGCTGTACAAACTCTGCAGAGTTCTTTAAACTAATCGATTAGCCGTGCTCACGGTCATGAGCGCTTTGGTGATGTGTCATGAGTATAGGCTTTATGATTTAAAATGTGAACATGTGACTTGATTTGAAATTGATAAAACGTGTTGAGTTGTGTGAGTGTGATGATATATTATGACTTGTTGTTCAAGGATGACAACAAGAGATTGATTATGATGGAATTATGATAAACTTAATGTTAAAACTTAAAACTTGTTTTGTTAATTGAAGCATCAACTTCTTTACAAAAGAATTGCGAAACAAAACTTGCTTTATGCTGAAATTGAGCTACATATTGTCTTCCTTTGAATATATGCTTTACATGTAGTATGGTAGGATTGACTTGTGCTTGCCAGTACATTAACTTGTTTAATGTACTGACTCTTGCTGTTTGATATAACCTTTTGTTTGCAGGTTTAGTCTTAGTCTTTGAGTGATGCGGGTTCCGATTGCTTCTTCTAGGATGAGAACTTAATGGGGTATACCCTTAGTCGGTGTGCTTGTGTTTGGGTAGTCAAGCTTCCGCTGTTCTCTAATAAGTCTATTTGGGCGGTCGGCCTATGTAATTATTAAGTTGTTGTAAGTCTTAAGTTTCTTTCATCTTAGTTGTGTTTGCTATGTGTAACCATGCTTAAGATGAAAGTGTGAATCTAGTGCACATCCTGGGAACTAGATTCACATGAGTATGAGTTAGGAATATTTGAGAGGTTGTAGATCTTTAGCCATTTTTGTCAAGTCTCCTGAATGTGTAACACATCTGGTCGCCGCCTTCGAGTGGTTTGACGGGCACATCTCAGGCTGAAGTTGACTGGCAGGCTAAGGGCCCAGCAATGTCTCCAATATTCCTCTCTCGAGGTGTCGGATGTTTCATTATGCTTGTTTGATGACTTGAATTATTCACTTCATCTCTCAAATATAATGGAAGGTCTGGAGAGCCTACGACAGCCTGCCCTCCGTTTCGCGCGGTGACTGCCGGAGGCGCGTTCCCGCCGTCGTCCAGTGGCGTTGCCGCCACTGTACTGCCTCCAGCCGCCCCTGCCGCGCCGCTCAGGTGTGGGCCGGCCGCGCCGTCTCCTCCCTCGGCGTCGCCGCGTCGACCTCCACCCCGGCCTGCCCTCTGATTCGTCCGGAGACCGCGTCGTCAAGCATTGCGCCGGCCTCTCCATCCTCGTCGTCGCCGGCGTCCCTTCGGCCGCCCCTTCCTCCTCCCCGGCTCGTCGGCTCGCTGCGCCACCACCACCTCCGGCATCATAGCGGCAAGGTCGCCCTCGGCCTCGCCTCCCCTCCACCCGAACACCGCCGGTGTTCGTCGTCGTCGTCATCATTCGTCCTCGCCGGCTCGTCGTCTCGCGGCGCCGCCTCCGTCGTCGGATTCGCAGCGGCGCGTTCCCCGTCGTCCCCGTCTCCATGCAGCTGCCGCCGGCTGCCCTCGTCGTCTCCTCGCCGGCCCCGGTCGTCGTCGTCGTCGTCCTCTCGTCGTCCTCATCGTCGTGGCGTTCGTCCCTCCGTCAAGCCGATCGCGTTCGCCGCCCGCGTTTCGTCAAGTGTGCAGCAGCCCCATCGTCGTCTTCGTCCTCGGCTCCGCGTCGTCAAGCCTCGTGCCGGCCGCGTCTCGCCTTTGTCCAAGGATCGCCACCGAAGTCGTCCCCTCGCCGTTCGTCTCCGTCGTTCCCGGCCGCCTCCGCCGCGCCCGTTCGTCGTTGTCGTTCCCTCGCCTCGTCGTGTGGTGGTAAGGATCCGTCCTCTCGCTGCCCCGTCCTTGTCCTTTCGTTGTCGCCCCGTACCCGTTGTGCGGTTGTCGACCCCGGTACCCGTGTACCGGTGTCGGTAGTCGTTCACGTGTGCGGGAAGTGACCGTGTAGTGTCCGTGTTAGTGTGCCCGCTCGGTAGCCACGTGGTTTCCACGTGTGCAGCCCGCGTGGTGTCTAGTGGAGTCCGTTTGTCGGCTACTCGCCTCAGTTGACACACGGGGTCCGCTTCCGTCGACCCGTGGACCGTCTCTGTGTACTCGGTCTACCGCGGTCCTTTAGGTTGACATGTGGGGTCCGCATGTCAACAGCGCAGCCTTCCTGTCTTTTCCAGGCTAGCGCTTTCACATGTTTTATAGTTGCAAAGCCTAATTATAATAATCCGCAAATCTCCATATAACAGCATTAAACTTCGGATGATCATATCTTGGTCATACGAACTCTGAATCGACCCGTTCAAGTCTCCTAATGTTTATTATAACCTAAAGAACCGTGTGCTTTCTTTTTATGTATTGTTATTGCTTCTTTATAGGCTTGTAGCTTTGCTTGTGTGCTTCGCGTAGCTTCTGTCGTTCCGGAGGTTCCCGAAGCGTGGTTCGCGATCGTCGCCGAAGGTTCGGAAGGCCGTTCTCTTTGAGCAAGGCAAGTCACATTATTCTTGAGCATATTGAATCCCAGTTTATAAAATTATTTTGATTTAAATTAATGCATTACCGCTTTATTTAAATTCCCGCGTTATCACTGTTTTATTTAGCCATGCCTATTTACCTTCGTTATGACATTATTATTGCTATTGTTATTATTACCTTGTTCACCCTAGAATAAACAAAACCCCAGCTAGTGGATACTCTATTCATGGTTCCACTAGTATGAATTTAGGTAGATGCTTCGCTGATTAACTAGGCAACATTAGGTGGTTTTATAACTCTAGACTTTGGGAATATTCATGTCACTTGGACACTATGGAATGGTTGGATTATTGTGGAATTGGATGCACACCTCTCCCTCTATTCAAAACCCTCAAAATGGTTTTAGGCTGGGCTCGGGGTGCATGGTTTTGTTAGCAGCACCTCGGTCTTCGGGCCTCTGTTGCAAAGCACTACCGTACTTCCACATGTCAAGTGGGTAAGGCTTAGTTTGTGGCTCAGTCTGGTTATAAACAAAAGTACACGGATGGAGATGGACAAAGTCGGGGGTCGATGGACATCTCTAGGACAAATGAAGGCTACACGGGCTGCGGCCCGGTAGTCGAGATGTCATGGCACAGGGCTGGTGTCCTGCTGCTAGGGGCTCAATTCTGCCTGCCTGTCCGGGGGTTCCGGCCGTAGGTGGGTTGGGTCGGTACTCTTGTCTATGGCTAGGATGGGTTGGAAACTATGTCATGTCTTCCGTCCATATGCCGTGGTGGTATGTGGCACGTGGTTGCACGTGAGGAAGACGTGTCTTGTGGGTAAAGATGTACACCTCTGATCAGAGTAAAACCTATTCGAATAGCCGCGCCCTCGGTTATGGGCAAGCCTAGCAATGTACCCAAGTTAGTGTTTTAAATTCTTAAAACCTGCTTAATAACTAAAATGTGGAATGATTGGCCTGGGTTGGCTTGGGACGAGCTGGGACCCAGGGTCGGGTTGCCAGTTCGGTCTGAATCATCGTAGGCCTTGGGTTAAGGCAGGTTCGTGTGGGTTCACGGCCTTGATTAATAATACTGTGTAGCTCTAGGATCGTCTTTATAAAATGGCTTTGGGCAACTAAATGACTTTTAAATGCTGTTTACTGCAAAACTTAACCCCTATATTATTATCCCCTTGTACCCCCTTGCATTAATTATGCATTTCCGGTGTGACTTGCTGAGTACTGTGGTTGTACTCATTCTTGCTCAATCTTTCCCCCTTCAGTAACAGAAGCTTTGGAGAAGAAGTCTTAGGTGGAGTCCTGGCTTATACCCCAGTTGAGCGCCTGTGAAGATGGAGCCGTAGGCCCGCTAGTCCGCTGCTGTTTATTTTTGTTTGTCATGCCTGAAGTGCCTTTGTAATAATGTAAATATTATCGATATAATAAAGATGTGCCTTTTGTTTCATGTTTGTGTGGTGTACCCCGGCTTTTCCTGGGACGGGGATTAATACACTAGCGTTCGGGAAAAGGTAATTTTCTCGGTCGCGACACCAGCCATGGCTGAGCTACTCGAGAAAAGGTTGTTAACGGATAATTCCTCGCGAACGTCGTCGGCTTGATCACCCGACATGATTGCGAACGGACATCCGGATATGCTATAAGT